TGGCTTTCACCTTATAGCTCTGGAAGGTTCCAGAGCTCATTCAGGAACTAAATACAAAGGGCTAAATATTTTAACAAAGGAAACTCTATTTCCCTGTCACTTAGGAAATCACAAGGGTTACTGGAGCTGGAGTCAGAAACCATGAACGAAAACCAAATATACACTTTGTACCATAATATGACAGTCCACCACCTCAAAGTGGAATATTCATTTTGCTAGTGTGGTGTGATAGTGAAGCCAGAATTAGACAGGCAGTCAGTACAGATAGGTAAATCGAGTCAGATCGGATAAAGGAGGCCAATTTTGAGTGAGACCCACATGTTGGAGCTGTCCCCAGAGGGACTGAAATGTTAATTCCTTCACAGCCCTTCCTCCACCCTTATCAAGAACCTCCCCTTGCTCCAACAGTTGCTAAAGTAACCTGTCCCAGGAATTGTCCCTCCCTAGGAACTATAAGGTTAATACTTCCTTGGCTGCTCCATCCTGCCCTTCCTCCTTCAGCCCCACTGGTTTCCCACCTTTTGGCCACCCCACCAGCATTCCTGGGTCTAATCAAATGCCCAGCAGGAAGGAGAGAGATAAGGGGAAGATAGCAGGAGAACAAAGGAAGCCTAGGACATATAAAAAGGTCAGAACCCTTGCTTCTAGGGATACCAGCTCTGGCCCCCTCCCTTCTCCCTCCTGGAAGAAGTCTATGTTACCCCTTTTTCAATAAACCCTGCTTTAGGGGCTGGGGTTGTGGCTCAGTGGTAGAGCGCTCGCCTTTAGGCGCTGGGTTCGATCCTTAGCACCACATAAAAATAAATAAATAAAATAAAGGTAAAAAAATAAATATTTTTTATTTAAAAATATTTATTTAAAAATAAATAAGTAAATAAACCCTGCTTTATATACTTGCCTCAGCGTGCTTCTCTAATGTTCAAACTTCCACATTTGAGGGAGCAGAACTCCTCATCTGGTAACCTGTGGTATTGTTACCGATGTTTACCGATGATGAGTCCTTGCTTTCCCAATGCTGAAGTATAATACCAGAGAAGCATGCCCAGGCAAGTTTAGAGTGGAAAGTAGAAGCTTTATTAAAGGACAGCAGAAAAGACTTCTCCCTGGAGGAAGAAGGGGACCTAAGAGGTGGAATCCTTGGAAGGGGAAGGTCTTCCCTTTTTATAGCTAAGGTTTACTTTCAGATTTCCTGCATTCCTGTTATATGCATTCTTGTCCTTTGTTCTGTTATCTTGCAGTGCTGAAATGTAGGTGGGAAGGTCCAAAAGCTGAGAGACAGATAGGCCTGAGGAGTAATCTGGGCAGGAAGGGTTTAGGATTAGCATCTCTGTTTGCTGGGAGCTGCTTCATTAATATTTCCTTGGAATGGCTCCAGGCCTTGGGGACTTTTTCAATTCCCCTTTTCCTGGACTCCATTCTCAATATGGCCTTCATTCTTGATTTTACTTGATATTAGACCTGATTTACCTAACTACACTAACTACCTATCTGTAAATCTGGCTTCACCACCAAGGCTGCTTTGTAAACTTTAGTCACTGTAAATTCACCCACTTAAGAAAATCATCAGGTGCACTGTTCATTAACCCAAGAGATAATTAAGAGAGATACAACAATAGAGAGATAGAACACTTTAAGAAACCTGTAACTGGCCCTGGCATCTTGTCTATGGCAAATGCTGGGCCAAACACAAATGGTTCCCAGTTTTTCATCTGCACTGCCAAGACTGAGTGGTTGGATGGCAAGCAGGTGGTCTTTGGGAAGGTGAAAGAGGGCTTGAACTTTGTGGAAGCCATGGAACGCTTTGGGTCCAGGAATGGCAAGACCAGCAAGAAGATCACCATTTCCGACTGTGGACAACTCTAATACATTTGACTTGTGTTTATCTTAACCACCAAACCATTCCTGTAGCTCAGGAGAGCACCCCTCCACCCCATCTGCTTGCAATATCCCATAATCTTTGTGCTCTAGCTGCAGTTCTTTGGGTTCCATATTTTCCTTATTTCCCTCCCAAGTCTAGCTGGATTGCAGAGTTAAGTTTATGATTATGAATAAAAACTAAATGACAAAAAAAAAAAAGAAAGAAAACTGTAACTGGGGCTGGGGTTGTGGCTCAGCAGTGAGTGCCCATCTAGCACTTTCCCGCATTTCTGTCCTTTGTTCCGTTATCTTGCAGCGATAGAATGTAGGTAGGATATACCGGATGTACCTAACTACAATAACTATCTATCTTTAAATCTGGCTTCAGTGCTGGGGATCGAACTGTCCTTTGTTCTGTAATCCACTGTCCTTTGTTCTGTTATCCACCCACATTCTATCACTGCAAGTTAACAGAACAAAGGACAGTTCGATCCTCAGCACTGAAGCCAGATTTAAAGACAGGTAGTTATTTTAGTTAGGTACATCCTGTCTAATATCCAGTGAGGTGAAGATGGAGCCCATCCCAAGGAAATGTTAATAAAGCAGCTCCCAGCAAAGAGATGCTAATCCAAAAACTATGCTAAACAAAGAGATGCTAATCCAAAAGCCCTTCTTGCCCACATTATTCCTTTGGGCCCCTCTGTCCCCCACCCTTTGGGCCTTCCCACCTACATTTTATCACTGCAAGATAACAGAACAAAGGACAGAAGTCTTTTCTGCTGTCCTTTAATAAAGCTTTTACTTTCCATTCTAAACTTGCCTGGGCATATTCGTCTGGTGTTATACTTCAGCACTGGGGAAGCAAGGACTTGTCACCAGTAAACAGCGGTAACAGCACCACATTTAAAAAAATAATAATAATTAATTAAAGATATTGTATCCAACTACAACTAAAAAATATTTTAAAAAAAGAAACCTATAACTGAGGGAGCTTTCCAACATTATTTATCAATCCAAGAATGGAAAGGAAAGCACAACAGCTTAAGGATCCTGAGAATGACCAGACAGACATCAGCCTCACATATCTACCCCTCCCCAGTTCCCTTTAAAAGAGAAGCCAGGAATCTCAAAAGCAATTTTCTCACTTTCAAGATGGCTCTCATTCTCCCTTGAATGTCTATTTCCTTGTTTTCCTAAATAAGTTTGTCTGTGCCACTACGTAGTAACAGGTGCTGAAATTCTTTTCCATCAAAGTCCCTTCTGGAAGGTCTGCCTGTCTGGGAATTCCACCAGTGACATCTCCACCAAATTCCTATTGTAATAAGGACTTAGACTCTTCATATATACATATGAATATCCGATGGGTGTCTAAAAGTTGACTATAAGATTTGGCATCTCTGCCTCCATTTTGCATCAGTCTCCTTTACTCTGAATCACTTTGGATTCCAGGAATGAGATCTAATCTGATAAACATCTTGTGAGGAGAAGTCAGACCCAGGCAACAGCAACTTTCTTATCTGGGACCCAGTCTGACCAATTCTGAAATGGTGGACAGACCACACCTGATCAAGATTACCTACTTAGGCAGTTGTAAAAAGGCTTCAGTTGTGCAAATCCTTGCCCTCCTTCCTTTTCCTATAAAACTACAAGGTCCGCCTCTGTTCCTCAAAGACAGGATTAAAAACTTGGGTCCCTTTGTCTTCCTGGTGTAGCTGTCTCAGGAAGTTCCTTTCATGCTTTTCACCATTATCATTTCTGTTTGATATTTGGGGTAACTATGTTACCAAAAGCTGGGTCCTTGCCCCCTGAATGCCAATCAAATAATGAGGACACGGTTTTAAGAAAAAGAAAAACGATTTATTGTTTTGCTGGCAAAGGAGAAATATGGGGTGGAGGGGGGGGACCTCCTGTCCCAAAGGCTGTGATTCTGCCCATTAGCAAGAATAGGGGGGCTTCTAGGGGTGATCCAGAGAAAATGAGATTAGGGAGGAGAAGGTCAGGAAGATTAGGGAAAAGAAGATCAAGAAGGATGTTAGGGAAAAGAAGATCGGGAAAAAGAAAAAAAAGCGACAAGGAATACAGTCAAAACATCAAGTGAACCTCTGTTACAGCTGGCTCTGATTTATTGGATCCCCAGAATCAGGCCTCTGGCCTAGGACTCTGGTAACACTATTAGGGTATGGTTAGCAATACCCATGAATTTGTGTACTTTGTATCTTTCTTGTCTCCTCAACAGGACCTTAATTCTTCATGGAAAGGAACAGTATTATGTTTACCATTCTAACAGTATAAAAGGCACACAACAGGAAAAGAACATTTCAAAAATACATATGTAGTCTGGATATTAAGGAGTTATTGATGAAGGGTTTTGTTGTTGTTTTTGGTACTGTAGCGTGAACTTGGTAAAGGGGTGCTTCAACCATTGACCTACATAGCCAGATGTTCTCTTTTTTTTTGAGACACAGTCTCACCAAATTGCTGAGGCTGGCAATCCTCCTGCCCCAGGCTCCCTTGAGATTGCAGGAGTGCTGCTGCACGGCCCAGCCTAACAATGTACTCTTTCTAGAACAGTGGTTCTCAAAATGTGGTCCTCAAACAAGGGCCTCAGCATCACCTGGAAAGCTTATTAAACGTGCAAAATTCAAGGATTCCCCAAGCCAGAACTAGAGAACAGAAACTCGAAAGCCCATGAATTACTTTTTAGACAGCCCCAGGGCGGAAAATAATGCACCTAAAAGTTGGAAAACACGGGTATCAGTCCTTTTCAGTTTTGGTTTATGATCATGTACTGCGTTAGATAAACACTAGGATCTATCTCCTTTTTAACTACGTTGTAGGTAAAATACGTTTCCACGGACCTTGTTTCTAGTCAAGGTTACATTTTAAAAGAAGGGGAAAGGCAGACTCCCGCTTCCGCATCAGTACCTCTGCCCAGCCTGTCATTACAGTAGACACAGGTTTACCAGCAGAGCGCTGGCCACAGACTGGCGGGGAATTCAATGTCCAGAGACTGGAGCAGGAACTGACCAATCAGAAGCCAGGTTCGAGTTGCTCGCCCATCCCGGCGGTGTGATTGGGTGGTTTCTCGCCGACGGAAGAGACCCGCCTCGGTCATGCTCCACGCCCTCTAGCGCGAGCCAATCGTTGCTCGCCGCTCGAAGAGGCACGACCCGCGCGAGCGATACAACATGGCGGAGTCCGCTTCCTCAGCGGCTCCGAGCCCGCGGGGCCGTGCGGACGGGGAGGATGAAGAGTCCTCCCATCGAGAGGGGATGGAGAGGGCCAGAGAAGACCTAGAACAGTTTGAGTACCAGGAACTGACCGACTGTCAGATGCAGTTGGGGGCCCCTGAGGAAGAGCGGGGGGAGGCGGAGGAGGAGGAGGAAGAAGAGGGGGAAGACGCGGACCTGGTGGCGGAGGCCGAAGCAGTGGCTGCTGGCTGGATGCTCGATTTCCTCTGCCTTTCTCTTTGCCGGGCCTTCCGCGACGGCCGCTCGGAGGACTTCCACCGGACCCGCGACAGCGCCGAAGGTGAGGGACGGGTGGCTGCGTGGGGACGGACGGCAGAGGCTGCGTTTCCAGCGGGGTCGCGAGCAGGGCTCTTGCGGCGGTTCGGCGGAGGCTCGGCTGAACGAACCTCTGTTGGAATCTCGGTTCCGCCTCTTCTCATCAAGCTTCTGTTTTGCACTTCGGAAAAATGAAACTAAGACCCGCGGCTAGGGCTGATAAAAAAATTGAGTTGAATTGAATAAGATTGCACCCGACCCACAGCCCAATTCCTCGTCTCCTTTGCCTATATTTGTTGCTCTTCTGCTTAGGTATTCCTGTAGTAATGTTAATTTGTGAATTATTTAAATCTCATTTGGCCTACTTGCTGACTATAGCCCCTGGAATAAAAATAACTATGAAATCTGTCTAGCAGCCTTTAACTGATGGGAAAAGGTAGACCCAACGAGAAGACGAGAGTTAGCATTTTGAAGGGCAACGAAATGATATCCCGGGATTTCATTTAGCGTTGCCATTGAATTAATTGTGTATCTATAATATGGCTAGTATTTAATACAAGATTCTCAGCAAGCCATATCGATGCATCTTCCTGAGTAGGCATATAATCTTATAGAAGACTGAATTAGTTAACCTAAGGTACTGGTAGGTTAAAAGGGGTGTTCTGAACCCATGCTTTAATGTTCCAATTCAAGGACCTTTCTTCCACTTGTCACACGTGGATACACTGGAGCCATAATTACCATTAATTAGAAAATTAAATCCTAGAATGAAGTCATTTAGTAATAATTAGAATTATTAAAAAGTTGTCTTTGGGGCTGGGGATATAGCTCAGTTGGTAGAATGCTTGCCTCGCATGCACAAGATCCCCAGCTCGATCCCCAGCACCACAAAAAAAAAAAAAAAAAAAAGAAAGAAAAGAAAAAGAAAAGGAAAAAAAGAAAAAGATTGTCTTTGGGCAGGAAGATTGAAAGTTCAAGGCTAAAACTTAGCAAGACCTTGTCTCAAAATAGAAATTTTAAAAAGGCCATGGATGCTGCTAAACATCCTATAGGGCACAGGAGATATCCCCAACCCCATTCTCCAACAAAGAATTACATGGTCCAAAATGTCAAGTGTTTCCATTCTATTTTATTAGAGATAAGACCTAAAGCAGCTGGGCATCTGGTCTACGCCTGTAATTCCAGCAATTTGGGAGGCTGTGGCAGCCTCAGGAGTTTAGCAAGGCCCTGTCTCAAAATTTTAAAAAGGGAGCTGGGGATATAGCTCAGTGATAAAGCACCCCTGGATTCAATCTTTGCTACCAAAAAAAAAAAAAAAAAAAGAAGAAGAAGAAGAAGAAGCAATACTATTCTTTTGGTTTCTCATTTTTTTCATCTGTAAAATTTTGGTAACAATAGTGTCAAGGACTATTAAGCAAATGAATTGATATGTGTAAAGGAAGGTTTCTGAATGGCAACTCTTGAAGTTTTGGACCATGTAATTCTTTGTTGGAGGATGAGGTTGGTGATATCTCCTATGCCAGGATGTTTAGCAGCATCTGTGACTTTGACCCACTAGAGCCAGTCCTTGTATTATGAGACAGGGTCTTGCTAGATTGCCCAAACTAGCCTTTAACTTTCCATCATTCTGCCTCAGCCTCCTGCTTACCTGGGATTACAGGCATGTGCCTCCTTCCCCACTGTTTTTTGTATACTTGATGATAACCCTTCTGACTGAGGTAATATAGAAGGAATTCTTTTTGGCTTTGTTTTGCAGTGCTGGACCTCAGACTCAGGGGCTCCTGCATACTAGACAAGCATTCTACCACTAAGCTTTCATTACTATAGAGTGTTGCTTTTGATTTTTTTGATTTTTTTATTTTTTGGTACTGGGGATTGAAGCCAGGGGTGCTTTACCACTAAACTGCTTTCCAACCACTTTTTTTTTTTTTAAGACAGAGTCTCATTAAATTAGTGAGGCTGGCCTAGAACTTGTAATCTTTCTTCCTTAGCCTCCCAAGTTGCTGGGGTTACAGGTGTGCACCAACACGCCTGACAAATGCTGCTTGATGAAAGTAGTTTTAAGTGTTTGTTATTCTGCATATTAGTCAGTTATATTTTGCAAGAAAAGCATTAATTCTGAAAGGTTCTCTTTTTTTTTAGATTTTTTTTAAAAGTTGACTTAAGTAAAACATAACACCTCTAAATTTCTGCTAAATTTTTTTGGGGGGAGTGAGTACCAGGGATTGAACTTGGGGGCCACACCTCCAGCCCAGTTTTGTATTTTATTAAGAGACAGGGTCTCTCTGACTTGCTTAGTGTCTCAGGGTTGCTGAGGCTGGCTTTGAACTTGTTACCCTCCTGCCTCAGCCTCCCCACTGGGATTACAGGCATGCACCACCACTCCCAGCTCTGGTAATTTTTACAAGATATTTGTAACCTATTAACAAACCACATAGTGGCACTGCTGGATTGTTTGTTTTTAATAAAATTCATTTTTTTCTTTTCTAGCCATAATTCATGGATTATCCAGTCTTACAACTTATCAACTGAAAACTGTATACATATGTCAGTTTTTGACAAGAATTGCAGCGGGAAAATCCCTTGGTAAATATGTTTTTATCTTATAGTAGAAGTATTTTGATTTATGTCTAAATATAAGAGAATGAGAAGAAACAGATGGGAGCTGTCTTCCCCCTTTTATTTAAGTTTACCTACAGGTATACAGCATATAAACACATACACACAAACACATATATATGTTCACGTAAATATATCTAAAGCAAGTAAAAGTATATTCTCTGTCTTCTTAGCACAGTGGTTTTCAAACTTTAGCCTGCTTCAGAATTGCTTATAGTACTTCTTAAAAAACATAAAAGTGCTGAGTCCTTCTGCCCCTCATGAGTTTCAGATTCTGTAGGATGGGTGTGGAGCCTTGGAATTTGCATTTCTAATAAGTTCCCAGATAATTTTGGTGTTGCAGTGGAAGAATTATGCCTTATCGATTCTTGGGGATTTCACTTTAAATTTTATACACAATAACTTTGTAATGATGCCTGTCATATACACACTGTTTTTACTGGCAACTATGATATTTGAAACCTTTCATAAACTTGATGTTAGTACTTGTTTATTATAAAGAAACGTGGTTTATATTTACTCTCCTTTGAAGTTCAATTAAAATTGGAATAGGGAGGTTTAGTTCAGTTTTATCAATAATGACTATTTATAACATGGTCATTTAAATGACTGTTTTGTGCAAATAATTACATACTTATGTTGGGTTTTTACCACTTATAAAAATGCTTTGTCTTCCATTCTGGGTGGTGGGCAGTACTTACATGACACTGCTTACTTAAACATGTATTACATAAAATCACAGAGTATTACCACATGAATCCAGCTCTTGCTCATGTATCCTGCTTTGTTTGGCAACTGAGGTTAGATCTGGAGTTGATGCTGAAGCACAAGTGGAAGAACTAGAGGTAGAGTAGATGTGGAAGAGAAAGGATGAAGATAGAACCTGTTACTGAGGAAAACAAACTGATATGGACACAATTGGAAATTTTCAGACCAAAAGTTAACATTGCTATTCAGGGTTGTTTGGAAAATTAAATGTGAGAAAATATACTAAAGGGTCCAGAAGTTCTTTACATATAGCATTTGTTCAATATATCTTAGTTTCTTCTCAGAAACCTCCCAGCAAAAAAGGAAAGGAGATCCAATTATTATGTGTGACACAGAGCTGGGGATATAGCTCAGTTGATAGAGTGCTTGCCTCACTTGTACAAGGCCGCCCTGGGTTCAATCCCTAGCACCACCAAAAAAAAAAAAAAAAAGTAGTAGAGTGCCTCTGGATCCCCAGTACCAAAAAAAAAAAAAAAAAAAGAAAGAAAGAAAGAAAGAAAATACTATCATTATTTAGAAAATAAGCTATAGTTGCTGTCTTGATATCTTCATGCTGATCTTCCTAAACTTGGTCCTCACCCAGGCCTCTTAAGTTAGTAAATGTCAGCACATTTATCCATTAATTAAAACCTGAGAGGCCTTCCTCTGTTGATTTTTCATTCTGCATATCTAATCTATTAGTCAAGTCTTGTTCTATTTTCAAAATAAGTTCCAAATTGGACAACTGCTTGCCTTTTCCATTATTCTGATCTTAGGTAGCTGACTCTTCCTTCTCCTTTTTTGGTACTGAGGATTGAACCCAGGGGTGCTTTACCAGTGAGCTATATCTTCAACCCTTTTTTATTCTGAGATAGGATCTCATCAAATTGCCAAGATTGGCTTCAAATTTGTAATCTTCCTGCCTCAGCCTCCTATATCCCTGGGATTAAGGCATATATAACTGCATCCAACCAAAAGGAATTCATTATTGTAGTAAAGAAAAGTTTCAGTTGTTTTATAATTTTTTTTTTTATATATTTATTTTTTAGTTATTGGCGGACACAACATCTTTGTTTTGTATGTGGTGCTGAGGATCGAACCCGGGCTGCACGCATGCCAGGCAAGCGCACTACCGCTTGAGCCACATCCCCAGCCCCGTTGTTTTATAATTTTAACAGAATTTTTTCAGTTTTAAAAATCTTAGCAAATTAACTTAGAAAATCACTTCCCTAAATTGATGTGTGAGAACAGTGCCTGGCACATAATATATACTCATATAAATATATAATATATACTCAAATATTTACCAGCAATGCATCTTTAAAAAGCTGATAAAGTAAGGTTCTACTTAAGTCTTCTAAATTATTTATTTTTCTTCTGTTTTTTTAAAAGACGCACAGTTTGAAAATGATGAGCGAATTACACCCTTGGAATCAGCCCTGATGATTTGGGCTTCAATTGAAAAAGAACATGACAAACTTCATGAAGAAATAGAGAATTTAATTAAAATTCAGGTATGAATATTACTTTGTACTTACAGTTGTTATTGTGAAAGAAAATGAAAGCATATGATATCTAAAATAAACAATTGGTTTGGGGTTTAGCTTAGTGGTAGAGCATGTGCTTATTACTAGCATATATATATATATATATAATTACTAGCATATATATATAGAAATTGGATAGGATACCCAGAGTAAAATTTAGAATCTTAGAAATTTTGACCTTTGTTTTGTAGTCTTGATATACACACCAGCGCCTAGAACTTAAAGATTATCAAGCAGTCTTCAAAATTGAGGAGTTGTACCCTCCCAATTTCTATTTAAGGAGTATTTTTTTTTAAATAGGCAATTTTAATTTTTTTTTTTTTTGGTGGGGTTTTTGATGCTGAATATTGAACATAGGGCCTCATATATGCTAGTAATAAGCACATGCTCTACCACTAAGCTAAACCCCAAACCAGTATTTTTGATTAAGAGTAGATTATGGATTTTTGCAAGCAAGAGTATATAAAATTTTAAACATGTTGAGAATTTTCATAGACCATTTAAGAGTCAGAAGCCAAAAGTCATTTAGAGATATAATTGGTAAAATATGTTTTGCTAGCATTGAAGCCAATAGTATAGACTTTGTCAGTTAAATAAACTTTTCCTCATTCTTATAAAATTAAAGTTGTTTTTTTTTTTAACATGGTGAAGGTAGAGAATCTAAGTGGTTGTGATGACAGTCAAGTAGAATTAGGACATGAAAAGATTGGGCAGAAAAAGGCCTAATTACTTTAAGACTCGAACTCAAGTTGAAGAGATTTTTCATGTTATTCCAGACTTTAGGGGCTCTAGAAAAAAGCTAACCTTTGTTACTACACTGTAAGGTTGAGGGGTTGACAATAAGTACATAGTAAACATTTAATATAATACTTGCCAGACATTCTAATCCCTTTTACATTTGTTTATTGTTGTTTCACATTTGTATATTGTTCTTTTCATCATTTTACATATTTATAAGGCAACAAGAAATATCCTGCCAAGTTTATAGTTATCCAGATGATAATGGTGGTCTAATATCTTCTCACGTGTTTTATCAGAAAGGCTAATGTGTAAATGATCATTCAAAAGCAGCTGACTTGCTAGGTTTCTAGTAGAAATCTTCCAGGGATCTTGACTACTAGCAAATTTTTTTATATTTTAATTATCAAAAATAACATCTACCTCCTGTCTTATTTTCCTGTAGCTCAAAATTAATATTTAGATAGGTCCTAAATGTACGTCATTTAGCTTCTTATCTATTAATGCCTGCTTTACATTTGGCTTACGTATGGGATAGAATGTTGAGTATTTGTTTTTGAATATGTGCAGGACCAATGAAATTTTTTTTTTCATTTTTTCATACCCTATTGTAAATTGTTCTGTTATTTGTCAAATATAACTTATTAAACTGCATAAAAGTTTTAAATGTATTTCAGATTCACTTGATTGATGTCAGTAATTAAAAATTTCTGGATATATAGTAGTTTAAGGTGTGTATTTCTCATTTTATCTTTAGGCTATAGCTGTTTGTATGGAAAATGGCAGTTTTAAGGAAGCAAAAGAAGTCTTTGAAAGAATATTTGACGCAAATTCTCACACGGTAATTGTCTAAACTGAAATCATAGAATTTTAGAAAAAAATTGTCATTTTCACATTAAATCGAAGTATTATTGATATTTTATATTCCCCTTTTTAAAAATCAAGTCTTCTAAATCTGTTGTGTACTTTATATGTTTAATATGTCTAAATTCAAATTAGTCACATTTCAAGGAATCAGCAGTTATGTGTGGCTAGTAGCTACCATATTAGGCAACCCAGGTATAAAGAATGCATTTTAACTTGCTTATTTTTCCAGTTATTTTTGTGATTATTAGTAATTTGCCTGTGGGTAATGTTAAAGTCAATAGAATTTTTTTTTAATATTAAAAGCACAGTATTTTTGGAGTGAATTAACATTCAAAGAAAAATGGTTTTATATGTTTTTAGTGAAATTTTTACTGAACAGGGCATATCTCTAGAAGAGTACATGTATATAAGTAGCTGTGATTTTACAAAAGGAATATGTTTATGTGAGGAGCCTCTAGATCAAAAAACAGAACCTTAACAGCATCTTCCAGTCACTTGAGGAAGTAGTTACCTTCTCGGGTATAACTACTACCCTGGCTTGTACCACCAAAGATTGGCTTTACTTTTTTTGAACTTATGATGGAATTATATAGCAAGTTTATATTTGTAAGATTGATCCATGTTGCTTATAATAATAGTTTGTTCACTCTCATTGTTTCATCATATAAATATGCTATAATTTATTCATTCTACTGTTGAACATTTAAATTATTTCCAATTTTTGGCTGTAGCATACTTTTTTGTTTTGTTTTGTTTTGTTTTTTAAGTACTGGGGATTAAACCCACGAGTGCTTTACTGCTGAGTTACATTCTCAGCAATTTTTAATTTTTTAAAAATTTTTGAGATAGGGTCTCACTAAGTTGCTTAGGGCCTCGCTAAGTTGCTGAGGCTGGCCTTGAACTTGAGATCTTCCCATCTCAGCTATGAGTCACTGGGATTTCAGGCATGCACCACAGCGCTTGGAAAAAGTTCTGTAGTTTTTTATTGTGCATCCAGCATTGAAAGAATTACTACTGAAAAAAAACTTGTAATATCCTCAAGAAGATATGAAGAAAAATGTTTAGGAGCATTGCAATAATGGCCAATAGCCTAAATCCCCAACATGCTGGAAGAGTGGGTGAACAAATGATATTTTTGATCAAATAGTACTATACAACTGTGAAATAAGTAGTTCTACAAACATCAAACATTCCCATTACAACTAGGAAAAAAGTTTGATAAATTGTAAAATCATGTTGCTAAAGACATGGAAGCAATGAGAATGAGATGCACTAAAATTCTAATCACTAGAAATTAAAAGAGGCAATAAAAGTTGAAAAATCCCGTTTTAGATAAAACACTGATATATTTTTTCCTTTTTACCATCCCCTTCTCAGTTTTTCAGTATTTGATGTTTTAGACACATAAACATTATTTAACTTTTAATTGTTCTTTGAGTTTATTATAAAGTGCTTGTTTCCAATTAAATAATATGATGAATTCTTTTGTATTTGGAATTTATTTGTGTGGCATATTATTAATACATTTTTTTCTATTTCCTTTAGCCTTTAGAAAGGAAATTGCTTATGATAATCTCTCAGAAAAATACATTCCATTCTATTTTTCAACAGTTCAGCTACAACCACATGATGAAGAAAATTAAGAGTTATGTGAATTATGTGCTTAATGAAAAATCATCAACTTTTCTAATGAAGGTATGCGTATTCAGAGAGTCTTAACAATAGACTTAAGAGAAATTCTTAAGATAAAGAATAGTTGAAATAGCCTTAAAAAAACAATCAGAATTTTGCTGGGCATGGTGGTATATGCCTGTAATACCAGCAACTCAGGAGCCTGAGGCTGGAGTTTTGGATGTTCAAAGATAGCCTCAGCAATTTAGCAGGGCTGAAGCAACATAGCAAGACCCTGTCTCTAAATAAAATATAAAAGGGGTTGAGGGGGTGTGGCTCAGTGATTAAGTAGCCCTGATTTCAATCCCCAGTACCTAAAAATTGAATCAGAATTTTGTGTAGTGGTTTTGTAGAAGAATGTGGTAAAGTGTTACAATTTATGAACCTACTAAAAGGATTTTATAGGTGGTCTTTGTAGTATTTTTGCAGCTTTTCAAAATAAGAGTTGCATCCGGGCATTATGACTTATGCCTGTAATACCAGCTGCTCTGTGAGGCAGGAGGAACACAAGTTCATGGCCAGCCTGGGAAACGTAGTGAGATCTTTAAAATAAAAAAATTTTGAAAGATCAGAATAAGAGTTGGGGAAATTTTTAAAACTGTGTTATTAAGAGGAAAACTTAAAATGAATTAAGAAAAAGTGAAAGCACATATTTAGTTTTATTGCCAGTAAATTTTAAACATTTTGGGAAAAGCAAAATTGGATTGAATAGGGATTCCCAGCCCCCACCCTTCCTACCCCACTCCCCCAGTGATGGGGATCAATCAGGGCCTCACACATGCTAGCAAGCACTTTGCCATTGAACTATGCCCCAGTCCTTTAAAATATTAAGTAACATTTTTAAAAAATATTAAGTGAGAGTTTTATTCTATCTTGGCCACAAAACATTTTAAGTTATTTATTGTGCATCCAGCATTAATTTGTTGCTGGATTAATTTGAGGGAATTTTATTTCAAAATAATGGATTTTATTTATTTATTTTTTAATTTTTTTAGTAGCTTTTGGTCTTAAAATTGCCTAGAGAGGGCTGGGGATGTGGCTCAAGCGGTAGCGCGCTCTCCTGGCATGTGTGCGGCCCGGGTTCGATCCTCAGCACCACATACAAACAAAGAAAGTTGTGTCCGCTGAAAACTAAAAAATAAATATTAAAATCCTCTCTCTCTCTCTCTCTCCTTTAAAAAAAAAAATTGCCTAGAGATCAGTATGTTTGTCAAATATATTTACAAGGAAAGATCCCCTCCATAATGCTTTACCAAGCAGGTAGCTAAAATAGCTGCCAGCATTACTATAATTATTGGTGAGAGCCTTGCACAGTGGGGCATGGCTTGTAATTCCAGCAACTCAGGGGATATAGCTCAGTGGTAAAGTGCTCCAGCTCAATTCCCTGTACCCCCTCCCCCCCCCCCAAAAAAAAAACCCTATTGGTGAAAATAGTAACATGATACCCTTTATTGTTCTGTGAACAGATATTTGCCTATGATTATTGGCAAAGAATTAACAGAGTTATTTAAATGTTATTTGTTTTAAATAACCTAATGTGTTCTTTCCTCTTCCTTTTTTCTACACAACCCTCTAAGGCAGCAGCAAAAGTAGTGGAAAGTGAAAAATCGAGAAAAATAACTTCTCAAGATAAACTTAATGGTAATGATATTGAAATGGAAACTGAAGTCAATTTGGATAAAGTAAAAAGGTTTGTAAAGTCACTAATTTTTTGTCTTATAAACGATCCTTCTTTATGTAAAAGTGATGCCATTGAGCCATTATTATTAAGAATAATGAGTTCTAAGTGTGTAATCTTACTAATGATTAACATTGGCTTTTTGAAGTACTATAGAGTTATAGCATGACATACACAAATTATATATTCTAAGCAAAAATAGGGAATGAGAAAATACTATGGCTTAAATAATGTAGGTAATTTCATTTATTATTCTCAGCAAAGATGTGCTGAGAAAACTAGATTGAGGTTGGAGAGTTGAATCATTTGTACCCCTTAGTTCTATTCATAACCCACATACCTTCATTATGTGACTCAATTATGCACTAAGAATTATTCTAGTATTTTTAAATATTGTTCATATGTCTTCTCAAGGGTAAGCTGATAGTTCAGATGATGTTCAGCTAAAGAGCGAGTAATTTGCTCTCTCACTGAAGAGAAATAGGTTGTATTAGTCCTAAGTATTGAGAGACAGTAGTTTGATTTCGTCTGCAAAATTAGGAATTTTTAAGGGTGGATTTTTCTTTTAGCTTTTGTTTTTGTGGTGCCATGGATCAAACCCAGGGCCTTATACATGCTAGGCAAGTGCTTTACCACCACTGAATTACATCCCCAGTCCAAAGGTAATTTTTTACTTTTTGCATTATAAGCTAACCCTATTGAAGAAAATGTAACTCAAATCATTAAAAAGATCTTTTCTGTTAAATCTATAGTCTACCTGGCACAATGATGCACTCCATTTAATCCCAGAAACTCAGGAGGCTGAGGCTAGGACAGGTGATGATGAGTTTGAGGCCATCCTAGGCAACTTAGAAGACCCACAAAATAAACATTTTTATAAAGAGCTAAGAATGAGATTCATCAGTGAAGCACCCCTGGGTTGTGTCCCAATACCACAAAATAAACAAGCACTCAGTGTTTGTTCCCTTTGTGCTTCCAACCTTAATTCAAGGCCAGATAATCTCATTCAGAGTCTCTGTGATTTCTGGATGAATATATTTGGCAACAGAAATAATATTATTTCTTCTTGGGACCACAACTGGAGTGCTTAATTATTTACTTAGAGATAGATATTGGAATTCTAGTTGGATATATACTGCATTGGTAACACCTCAGGACTGAGGCTTAGTCTTCTTATAGTGTTTCCTTTTATTGTTCCTGCCCATCAGAGAATGGCCTATCCCTCATTGGTTCATCTTGAGGTCTTATTTATCATTTGACTTTTTTCTATGATCCATTTAGAAAAGTAGAGATTGTATTTTTATTGGATACATTATTTCATTTTGTTTAGAAAAATCAAGGTTTAATGATTCTAAAACCCCAAACATCCTTGAAGCCAGGCCTTCCTTATTTTATGATGTAATACTATCATAAAATAAAATAAAAACTTATTCCATGGTTCTTGCAGATAATGAGCACATTTCCTATATTCTTTCCTTATATAGTACCATTCACTTATTTCTGATGTTCTCCTAGACTGAATGCAGTGTATGTATAGTTCTTCATTTTCTCATCTACCTTTCTGCTGCGTCCTGTCCTCCACCTCATAAATCCAGGTGTCTCTTGTATTAAGAATCTCATCTCAGAAATATTTCTCTAATGTGTTCTTTCTCTCTTTTTTTTTTTTTTTTTTTTGTACTGGGGATTGAACTCAGGGGCACTCAACACTCAACCACTGAGTCACAATCCCAGCCCTTATTGTACTTTATTTAGAGACAGGGTCTCACTAAGTGCTTAGCGCCTTGCTTCTTGCTGAGGCTGGCTTTGAACTTGTGATCCTCCTGCCTTGAGCTGCTGGGATTACAGGCGTGCGCCACAGTGTCCAGCCTCTCATCTCTTTTTTTTTTTTTTTTTTTTTTTAATATTTATTTTTTAGTTGAAGTTGGACACAATACCTTTATTTTATTTTATTTTCATGTAGTACTGAGGATCAAACCCAGGGCCTGGCACATGTTAGGCAAGCACTCTACTGTTGAGCCACAACCCCAGCCTTCATCATTTTTATCATAGATTATTACATAGAATTCTATCATATAAATCCAACCTTGACATAATTCCCAGAATTAGCTTTCACAAAATCAGATGTTTAAATCATTTCCCAGGTTAAAAACCTTTTGGCTCGTGTTTCCTACTAAATGTGTCAGAATTTATTGGCATGGCTTACAAAGCTTTATATGGCCTTGTTTTTTGCTTTTGTTTTGTTTTGTTTTTCAGAAGTCCCCTTGTATCCATAGTTTCACTTACAGGTTGTCAACCATGATCTATAAATATTAAATGGAAAATTCCAGGAACAATTCAGAAGTCTTAAATTGTGTGTCTTTCTGAGTAGCATGATGAGATCTTGGATCTTCGTGCTGCACCCTTCTCCTCTCTCCCAGGCAGGACATGAATCATACTTTTGTCCAATGTATCCATGCTATATTCACTACCTACCCATCACTCATTTAGTAGCCATCTCAATTATCAATTGACATTTGTAATATTGCAGTATTTGTATTCTGGTAACCCTTATTTTACTTAATAATAGCCCCAAAGGGCAAAAATAATGATGTCCCAATTTAGATATCCCACAAAGAACCCATTAAGTGCTTTCTTTAAATGAAAGCTATTGACCTAATAAGGAAAAGAAACACTGTATGTTGACCTTACTAAGCTTTAAAGTAAGAACAAGTCTATCCATGAAATAGTGCAGGAAAAAAAAGAATGTTATTACTAGTTTTGCTGTCTTACCTCAGACTACAAATGTTACTGCTACAGTGCTTGGTAGATTCTTACTTTATAAGGTTCAGTACTGTCCACTTTCAGTCATCTGCTTGGAGGCCTTGGAACTTAAAATTAACCCTGGTGGGTAAAGAAAGTGGTAATGTGCTATGTACTGTACTTCGGCTTACAACATGTTAACCTTCAAACAAATCATATTTCTTTGCCCACAAATTTAAAGTTTGAGGTAAGACAGCAAAACTAGCATAAAGTTCTTTTTTTTTTTTTTCCCTGCACTATTTCATGGATAGATTTGTTCTTACCTTAAAGGTCGTCATGAGCAGTTTGAGGTACAATAGAAAGACTAACATGAATATTTTGGTCTTTCTTTACAATTTGACAGCTAGAATATTTGTTTTTACATTAGAACTTAATAGTGTTGGCATATGATGTTTTTCTTGCCGAGAGCTTTTGCTTTTTTTATTGAAAGGATAGATGCTGTATGGCTTCTCTTTGGCACATTCAAAATGCCAAATCACTACGTTTTGTGCTTCAGGTTCATTATTAAGGAAAAAGGGTTACTTGAGGGGCTGTGGGTGTAGCTCAGTTGTGGAGTTCCTGCCTAGCATCTACAAGGCCCTGGTTTAGATCTTTAACACCACAAATAAAGTAAAGCTGCATTTAAAAGAAATGGGTGTGATGATGCATGCCTAAACTCCCAGCTACTTGGGAGGCTGAGGAAGGAGGATCACAAGTTTGAGACCAGCCTTGGCAACTTATCAAGACCCTGTCTCAAAAAATAAAAAGGAATGGGGATGTAACTCAGCGGTAGAGCTCCCCTGGGTTCAATCCCCAATAACACACACCAAAAAAGGTGGGGGTTGGCAGGGGGTATTTATACACTGCTTTGATAAGTGACTGATGGGTAAGTAGCATATATAGCATGGATATACTGGGCAGTAGGCTAGTTCATGTCCCATGCAGAACAGCAGGGAGAATGTGAGATTTCAACATACTACTCAGAAAGGCATGTAATTGAAATCTTAATATACATTCAGCAGTTTTCTATTTAATATTTTTGGACTGCTGTACACCAGTACTATCGGATAAGAGAGAACTAATGGCTCAACTATGGTATATGGTTTCAAATATTCATTGGAGACCTTGGAATATACCTTTCATGGAAAAAGGGGGGCCACCACATAATCTCATTCTTAAGTGTTATCCCCCTTTGTGCCCATATGCTTGAAACTTTCTAGAAGCACAGAACTTATCACTGATCTTAAAATGCTACCCTGTTCCCTTGCTTAGTTTCTTCTATTTTGGATTCCCTTCTTTTTATTCTCTCTAAGGCAGGCTGTTATTTGTTGTTCAAGGTCTACTTTACAGATCACCTATACAAAGTCTTGCCTAGCTCTGATCAGAGTTATTACTTCTGGGCTCCAATGGTACCAAGTCACATCTATAAAAAGGACTTACCTTAGATTGTAACTTATTTGTTTACCTGTTTGCATCTCTCATTAGTCTTTAGAATTCTTTGAAGGTTCTTTTGTGGCAGAGGCTAGGATGGAGGCTGGTTCTGGGCAGTGGGCTAAGATTGAGGCTGATTCTGGGAAATGCTTGGGATTGAACCAACTGAGTTAAATCCCCAGCTCCCCTTCTGAAGGTTCTTATTAGTCTTGAAGCATCTTAATTGGCTTGGTAACCTTGGTTACCAAGGTTATATTAGAACTATTAGTCCACTAGTTACAGGGATTAAAATAAAAATTAGAGACAGGATAAAGATCAGTAACCAAGCAAACATCAATATTATCTTGTAAGCAGAAACAGGGCAAAAAAAGCATTAAACCAAAGTATCAGAACAGCAGTCAACGGGATGCAAATGAAACAAGCATAGCATCAGAAGTATGATTGTGAGGTCAGATAAATGTTAGAAAAATCAAATAAATGTTCTTAAAAATAAAATAAAATGAATGTTCTTAACTTCCTTCCTTGAAGACCCAGAAGTGCCTTGTGACATTTTATAACTTATTAGTAACTCTTATATTTGAAAGAACTGAGTGTTTTACATTTAAAATGTACACTGTTAATAAAAGATTAATTCTAAAAAGAAAAAAAAACTCTCCTTAAGACTAGATGGAATAAATGTTTTGCTATGATAAAGCTTTTAATCTATTTGAGGCATCAACAGTTATTGGCAGGAAACAGCAGAAAATCTATAATTTGTTGCTAAAGTCTTTAGATAGACCTCAGTGCTAAAAGAATTGAGATAGACTACTTTGTAGAGGTATTAGTTTTGTGCAGGGACTTGAAGGACGGTTGAGATTTTTCATGAGTAGATGGAAATGTTACCTCAGAAAAGAGGAGTAGAAGCAGTGAAGGCATGGAGATGAAAATCGTCATGCTATATTTTGGAAGCTATTTCAACTATAACAAAGGGGAATTTATTTAAAAGTTCAATTGGAGACTTGGCAGAATCAGAAATTAAAATTGAATTATTCAAATTGTATACATTAAACACAAAGCATTATTTTTTGTAAATTGATCATACCTCAATAAAACTTTTTTAAAAAACTTGAATTCATGGAAATAAGGGCCATGGAAAATTTTTTTAAGAATGATATTATGAATGTTTGATGAAAGCATTAAATGCTTAATGTTTGAAGCTTGATATATGCCTTATGCCTCTTATAAGCACATTTGGGCAAAAATTAACCATGTTGTAACGGACTATGTATGTCTTAATGTTACCAGGCTTTCTTTCCAAAGATATTTTTATAAATCGAAATGTGACTTGACTATGTGGAAAGTGCTGTCTTTAGGCAAAATTGCTTTTATTTACATTCTTACAAATTTTTTCTTCTTTTAAAGTGTTAGTGACAAACAGTCTGCGGTAACTGAATCCTCAGAGGGTACAATATCCTTATTGAGGTGAAGTAAATTGATGTTTTTCTTCTCTGTCTTTAAAAGTCTTTGATTGAAACAATTCATGCAGACTTAAATATGTTATTATAACTGCCATGTAAATGGTATGATTAAAAGTATCTCAGGGTTCTGCTTACCTCAACAAATCCTCAAGACCCTGATATGTCTTAAAATTTCAAATTAGAGACCTACTTCTGGAATCTGGGTTGTTTTACATTGTTTCAACAAGGCCATTATTGGAATAATATATAGGGAGTACTTGAGCTTAAATCAGGTGTTCAGTAAACTTATTCTGTCATAAAAACAAAGATGTGATACTGGGGCAGGAAGGGAATAGGGAAACATATCTGATAAATGTCCCATATTCCAATTTAACGAAATTACTTGAAAAACTGGTTTTGATCTAGAAATGCTGTGACAGACGATAAATATGAGAGTCTGCATGAACGGTTTCAGAATAGAGTAGTTGGGATGCTTGATGGAACCATGGGAGAGGGTGGCTAATATGGTGTGGAAGAGATTGTTGAAGATGAGGATTTGAGAAGCCAGGATGTTCTATGATTTGTCCACAAACACTGAAATTATTCATAATGGCAGCACTTAGGTGTAGAAAATGGTCCATGAATGATGGGAAGTTCTTTGAGGGATAGTGAGTGGCTATAGAGAATTGATAAAAGGTGATATATATCAGGAGCTTGATTCCTCAAGAACTGAGACTTCTGGGGAAACAGGCTCCTGAACATGGTACCCATTGGTAAATGAAAACTATATTGGGGTTATGGATGTAATTCAGTGAGGAATTGCTTGTCTAGCATGTGAGGCTTTGAGTTTGATCCCCAGCACAGGAAACAAAAGAACAATAAAAATACTAAAATACTATGAAGATCCACCTCTAGGAATCTGTGGCTTATAGAGAGTGGAAAATTAAGCCAGTCTCCACTTGAGAAAGCCACAAAGAAGAGAAATGTCCCAAAAGAAGAGCTAGATTTTTAGATAAGGCAGAGATAGAGAAACTAGTGAAGCCATTGAGAATGGCATTCCAGAGAGCACAAGAAAAACTTTTGGGAGAGGAAAAGAGGGGAAGTATCATTAACTGGAATAGAGTATTTGTAGGGATAACAATGTAGCAGAGCCTACATTTTAGTTAGGTGTAGATAATATAGCTGTCTAAGCTCAGGCACTCTACTTTTTGAATCCTTTATTAAATGAGTAATACCAACTTTGCAGGGTTGTTAAATATATATATAAATATATAAACATGTGAAAAAAAATATATATATAATATATATATTATATATATATATATATCAATCACATCTTGTAATTTCAGACAGCCTACATCTGCTATCATATAAAGGAATTTTGGAATTTCTTTTTTGGGGAAATAAATTCAGAAGCCATAGGGAGAATGAAAGTTGGAGGGGTTTAATTCCCCCCCCCCTTGATCTAATTGGAAGGCCAATAGAGTCTTGATTTCTGAGAAAAGAGATGAAAGAGGGAAGTCTGACAACAGAAGAAACCAAAAGTTAACATGGAGCACTAAACAAGGAGAGCATGGAAGGAAGCAGGCCAAAGTAGAAGATCCTAGAACAGAGATAGTGATAAATCATGTACCTTTTCCTCCCTATCTTTACTAGTCTTTCTGGAATCACATGCTTTCACTTTTTGTTTAGGTCTCACAAGAATCTCTTCATATCCAAATTGAAACATGGAAGCTGGCAGCAAGACTTTAATGAGAAAGAGGAGAGAGTAGGAACTCTTCAAAGTAAGTACTATTACTGTAGTTTCAGAATTGGAAAGATGATGTGTTCTCAAAAATGATCCTCAAAGTTGAGGTCACCCTGCAACATACAAAACACTTCAGAAAACAAGAGAACAAAGAATATGATAGTTACTTGAGATGATACTTAATTTAGAAAGTTCTGAATGCTTAAAGTTCTTTTGCTTGTAACATAGTAAAACTTGTTTTCTACCTTAAGTGTATTCATCATCTTCATCTTCAAGTAATTACTTTCTTGAGACACAAATACACTCAGATTTCATTATTCACAGATAATTATGTCTTGAGAGCACTGAATTAGCAGATACTGAATCATTATCCCTAGGAGAAATACAAAGTTAGATTCCTCTGAGCCTTTCATCACAACTTTTTTTTTTAACCAACTGATTAATACATAATCTTGTTTTATGTATTGATCAGTTGTTAGCTGTTAAGAAAGGCACTTTATTATTGATTAACATTGAGTTACCGCCACCAGCACTACAATGCAAGCCTTGATGAACTTTGTGTAACATCTATTTTTCTATAAGGTGCATTACAGCCTTCTTGCTCTGAGAAACACTAGACAGCATTTCCAGATTTAAAAATGTGTCACTAAATCAACCAGAAAAAAGACACGTCTACCAATGGACCTGGAAACTTCCATGAGTATTGATTTTGGAGTTAGACAAATTTTAGAGAATAGATAAATTTAGAAATAGAATCTGAGGATTGACCATATGAAGAACCTATATATCCCATATATTTTCCTTACTACTACTTTTTTTTTTAATGCCAAGGATTAAACCCAGGGGAACTTTACCACTGAGCTACATCCCCAGCTCTTTTTTATTTTGAAACAGGGTCTTGGTAAGTTGTTGAGGTTGGTCTTGAACTTGCAATCCTCCTCTCAGCCTCCTGAGTTGATGGAATTACAGGTGTGTGCTGTCATACCTGGCTTGGATAGCTTCTGAAAACCAGTCTGAAATTATTTTCAATTGTAATTTGATTATCAGTTCCTTCTTGGTATGTATTCATTTAACAAAAATGCATTGACCGATATTTTATTCTAGGCACTGTATTAATGGTGAAATTAATGTAAATTATTTAGGTGGAAGCCTAAATATTAGGTCTAGACCTTTATTGATCAGAATAAAAAATAAGAGATTTAAGAAAATTAGGCTTGTTTTCCATACTCATAAGTTACCAACTGAACACTCGGCACAGTAAGTAGGCCTGCAATAAATATTATTAAATAAATGTATTCAGATCTGATACCTGGTGACATGGCCAGTATTAGCTAATATTTGTGAATATAGTGCTAAAACACATTTGTAAGTACTGTCATCACTCTCATTTTAAAGATGAAAAAACTGAAACTCCATTATTTTCCTAATGTTGCTAAATTCCAAAATCGAATTTCTTCATCTGTTACTACAGAATGTCTCAAAATTATAATTATAAACTAGAATAATGTGAGCCTTTTCTTGGGCTTTTAATATCATAATACAAAATTCAAGTAACAGTAAACATACACTTGTTGATGCTCAACATAGCTCATGAGTAGTTAAACTCTGAAGACTATAACCTCATTTCAGAGGGGTTTACAGTGATTGTGGATATTGATTCTATAAGGTCTTATGATTTTTAGCATTTTAAAAATCTAGTTTACTTAAATAGTACCAAGTGTCCTCTCAATTAGAGGATATTAGTTGTGAAAAGGTTTTCATTTTTTTAAAAATGAATTTTGGGTGCCATCTTTGATAGCACAAATACAAAAACAAATATTTGGTTTATAAAATTGATAAACTAATTTGGAAGAAAATCAAATGTTTCAGAAAAGTTGAAAGAAAAGAATCATCCAAATTCCTTCTATGCAGAAAAACTTCACCAGCATTTGGCAAATAATCATTACTATTTGTGTTAAAAGTTCTTTATATAGAATTCACTTAATATTTAAATCTACCTTTTTTATCAAGGTAGAAGTTGAGATAAAAAGAGGTTAATTAAAATTCCCTTGGCTATATAGTATGTGAGCAGAACCTACCCTAACCAGAATCTGAAATTAGACTTTCAGACTTTAGGCAGACCCATATCCTTAAAGGTTAGAAAAATATTACCAGGTTACATGTTATCTACAAATATGTTTATATATAATTTTTTAAAGTAGATCTGAAGGATTCAGTGAATTTCAAATATTGTTTCACAAGAAGCATCACTATATGAGCTCTCCATAATCAAGAATAAATATGAAATGCTTTGAAAGGCTGGGTCCAGTTGCATCTACAAATATAAATTTAAGCCTTGGCTGTTGATTGGTTTTTAGCAAAAATCTGTCCCACCAATGCCCATTTTTCTTTTAAATTTTTTTTAGATGTTATGGACCTTTATTTTATTCATGTATTTATATGTGGTGCTGAGAATCGAACCCAGGGCCTCACACATGCTAGGCAAATGCTCTTACCACTAAGCCACAACCCCAGCCCCCCCCCCCCCCGCATTTTTCTTAACATTTTATGTAATCAAGTTTTGTAACCTGTTTTGTAGCCATAATTCCTGTAAAAGTTTGATCGTATTTAAATTGATCTATTTACGAAATCCTTCTACCAAGATTCCCTTAATCCTCCGCTCTTCATTTTATTTATTTTTGGGCTGGATTTTTAAAAAATGGCTTATAGACACTATAATTTCTAAATTCATGCATGTCCAAGAGCGTCTACTCTTATTTGCTTAAAAGATTTGCCTACATTTACTTGAAGAAAAAGTAGGCCCAAATCTCTCTTGTCAATGTAGGAACTGAATTCTTCAAGTCTCCTAAAGCACAAGAAGTAAAATCAAGAATCAATAAATGGATGGTATCAAACTAAAAAACAACTTCTCAGCAAAGGAAACAATCAAGAATGTGAAAAGAGAGCCTACAGAATGGGAGAAAATCTTTGCCACCTGCACCTCAGATAGAGCATTAATCTTCAGGATATATAAAGATCTCAAAAACCTTAACACTTAATCAGTAAATGGGCAAACGAACTAAACAGACACTTCCAAAAAAGAAAAATACAGTCAACAAATACATGAAAAAATGTTCAACGTCTCTAGCAATTAGAGAAATGCAAATTAAAACTATACTGAGATGTCATCTCTTCAGTCAGAATAGCAGTTATCAAGAACACAAGTGACACTAAATGTTGGTAAGGATATGAGGAAAAAAGAACACTCATACATTGCTGGTGGGAGTGCAAATTGGTGCAACAATTGTGGAAAGCAGTATGGAGATTCCTCAGAAAACTTGGGATGAATCCACCGTTTGACCTAGTTATCCCACTCCTCAGCATATATCCAAAAGATTTAAAATCAGCATATTATAGTGATTAGGCCACATCTTTATAGCAGCTCAATTCACATTAACTAAGCTATGGAACCAATGTAGGTACCCTTCAGCAGGTAAGTAAGAAAATGTGGTATATCATCATAATGGAGTTTTAATGAGCCATAAAGTAGAATGAAATTATGGCATTTTCTGGTAAATGGATGGGACTGGAAACTATTGTGCTAAGTGAAATAAGCCAATCCCCCAAAAAATGTTCTCTCTGATATTCGGATGCTAACTCACAGTAGGTGAGGGTAGGGTGGGAGTGGGAGAAGAGTGGAGGTTCACTGGGGAGTGGGGGAAAGGGAAAGAGAATGGGAATGGAAAAGACAGTAGAATGAATTGGACATAACCTTCTTATTTTCATATATGAAGACACAACTAGCATAACTCCATATCCTGTACAAACATAAAAATGAGAAGTTATACTCCATGTATATGATATGTCAAAATACATTCTACTGTTGTGTATAACTAAAAAGAAAAAAAAATTAAGAAAAAAGATTTACCTACATATAATATTTTCCAGGAATACTTTCTTCTCACAGCTTTGTAAACTTTGATTCAAGTGCTACTGTGGTCAAGTCTGAGGTTAATCTGACTTCCCATAATTTTGTATAGGTGTTTCTTTTTTTCCTTACATGCTCAGATAGTCCTAATATTATTGTATGTTTTATGCTATAAATCCCTTTTTTCTGCTTTAGTTGTACCCACAAATTTCATGTTGGATTTTCATTTAGTTCAACGTATTTTTTTCATTTCTGTTGAGAGACTTTTTCTTGGCCCTATGGATTATTTTGAAGTAGCTTGTTTAACTTCCAAATAATTTAAGGATATTATACATGTCTTTGTGTGATTGATTTTCATTTAATTCTGGTCTAGTCTGAGAAGAAGATACTTGTAGAATTTTTATTTTATAAAATATTTTTTTATGGTCCAGAATATGGTTTCTCTTGGAGACTCTTTATGTATACCTGAGAAGAATAATGGCCCCTGAGCATCCTGCAGTTTTGCTATTATTATGGGGTGTTTTAAAATGTCAGTTAGACCATGTGTGGTGGTGCATTCCTGTAATCCCAGCATCTCAGGAGGCTGAGGCAGGAGGATCACAAGTTCAAAATCAGCCTCAGCAAAAGCAAGGCGCTAAGCAACTCAGTAAGACCTTGTCTTGAATAAAATACAGAATAGGGCTGGGGATGTGACTCCGTGGTTGAGTGCCCCTGAGTTCAATCCTCAGTAGCCCCCCCCCCAAAAAAAAAAAAAGTCAGGTCAAGTTAATATGCTACTCAAATATTCAATATTCTTACTCCTTTCCTGCCTACATGTTCTACTGGTTACAGAGAGGTGTTGAAATCTCCCAACTATAATCCTGAATTTGTCTGTTAATACATATTTATCTGTTAACTTTTAATTCCTTTTTGACTTTTTTTAGCCTTCTAGTATCTGCTTAAACAATTTTTCCAACCAGGCATAGTGGCACACACCTATAATTCCAGTATCTCCAGAGACCAAGGCAGGACGAAGCAAAAGTTCAAAGCCAGCCTCAGCAACTTAGCAAGACCCTGTCTCAAAGTAAAACATGAAAAGGGCTAGGGATGCAGTTTAGTGGTTAAGCACCCGTGGATTCAATCCCTGGTACCAAAATAAATAAATGAATACATACATCACATTTCCAGTACCTTTGGTCCATTCTTGCAACGATGCTATAGTATAGTCTCATTATTTTATTTTATTTATTTTGCAGTGCTTGGAATTGAACACAAGACCTTCTTGATCACTATTGTTTCAATTACTGTAGTTTTGTAATAACCAAATATGTGATAGATAGTATTCTTCTTCAGGAATGTTTTTCTATTCTAAAGTATTTTGGTCTTCCATATTGTCAGTTAAAAAAAAAAAAAACAATCCCAACCATAGAGATTATGAGCAATAAACCTTTCACTCCATAGGTGTGCCAAGTCAAGAGTAAGACAGTCTATTACAGTATAATTGCATGATAATCACTATAGTTGTGTTTATCCACTAACCCTAAGTCTCATGGGCAATGCAGTGAACCCAGATTGATGATATGAAAGCAGCAGGTTGTATTTCACCTGAGGAACTCAGTGTCAAATGCTTAGTACTTTTTGAGTACGCCACATGACATTGTTGTGAATAGCAAACAAGCCAGTATCCTCCTTCAGGAAAGAACAGTTGCATAGTGATTTCCATGACTTACCTGCTTAGCTATAGAAACTACATGGTACCAGGGTATGAATAACGAACGGTGTACTTTCAGCAGAACTACAGGGATGCTCAGGGACTATGGTGGACTACCTCTCAAAGAACCTTTCTAAATTTTTTATTTGAAATTACATTGAAAAACAGATCATTTTAGTGAGATCTAACAATTATATTATTTCTTCCTATGCATAAATAAATTTCTTTAGCCAGGTGCAGTGGTGCATGCCTACAATCCTACTAGCAGCTTAGAAGTCTGAGGCAGGAGGATCCCAAGTTCAAGGTCAGCTTAGGCAACATAGGGAGACCCTGTTTCAAAATCTATTTTAATTAGAGGCAGGGTCTCACTGAGTCGCTTAGTGCCTCACCATTGCTGAGGCTGGCTTTGAACTTGTGATCCTTCTGCCTCAGCCTCCTGAGATGCTGGGATTACAGGCATGTTCCACCGCACCCGGCGTCTAAGAATTCATTTCTTGCTAATGTAAATGGTCTTGATTTTTTTTCTTGGTGTGTTTTTTGTTTGTTTGGTTTTGATTTTGTTTTTGGTACTGGGGATTGAACTTAGGGGTACTTAACCATTTAGCAACATCCCCAGCCTGTGCCAGCCTGTGGGGTTTTTGTTGTTATTGCTGTTTTAAAAAAACTATTATGTATGTATACCACATTTTCTTTATCCACTCATCCACTGATAGACACCTAAGCTGAAAAAGGGTCTTGTTTAAGTTGATGAGGCACGTCTTGAACTCGCAATCCTCCTGCCTCAACCTCTCAAGATGCTAGGATTATAGGCATGCTCCACTGCACCTGACTCCTGTTGTTTAACTGTTTGCTAATTATTAGTGTATAGAAATCCCATTGCTTTTTATGTGTTTATTTTATAGCCTACCATCCTGCTAATTCCTTTTACTTATTTGTAGATTCTTTTAGGTTTTCTATCTAAATAATTATCATCTTTCAATATTTACAGTTCTGTTTCTCTTCTGTTATATGTATACATTTATTTCTTGTTTTACTGTACTGAGGGAAAGGTTATATATACTTCATATGTCAAGTACTCCTAAAATTATCATAAGAAAATTTCAAAGATCACTTGTGATAAATATGTTTTCTTTCTTTAACGGATGATGAACAGACAGGCTCAGGGAAAGAAGACTTTTTTTTTTTTTAATTTTTTTCCTTAGTTGTTGATAGATCTTTATTTTATTTATTCATACATGGTGCTGAGAATCAAACTCAGTGCCTCACACATGCCAGTCAAGTGCACTACCACTGAGCCACAGTCCCAGCCCAGAAGATGACTTATTTAAAGACAAAAAAGCTAGACTGATCTTAAACAACTGTGATTCTTGTACCTTACTGCTTCCAGATTTGAAAAAAAAAATTAAACATGTAGAGTTTTTTTTTTTAAATAGCTAAGAAGAGATGAAACTTTGTAATAGCTTTTAAAATTGTAATTCCTCTTTTTCCTTTAATGTGAACAGTTTTCCAACATTTTTTAAAATTGGTCTATTACAGTTGTACACAATGGTGGGATTTGTTGATACATATTTATACATGCACACAATATAACAATATTATTTGACTAATAATGTTCCCTAGTATTTCCCATTTCTCTCCTCTCCCCTCCCCCTGATTCCTTTCCCCTATTCTACTGATCTCCCTTTGATTTTCATGGGAACCCCCACCACCATCACCTTTCTTTTCCTTTTTGCTCTCTAGCTTCCACATGTGAGAGAAATTATGACTCTTGACCTTCTGAGCTTGGCTTATTTTGCTTAACATAATGGTCTCAAGTTCTATCCATTTTCCTGCAAATAACATAATGTCATTTTTCTTTATGGCTGAATAAAAAACTGCTATGTATATATACCACATTTTCTTTATCCATTCATCCACTGATAGACACCTAAGCTGATACCATAGTTTGGCTATGCTGCTGTAAACATGGGTATGCAAGTGTATATGCATGATGATTTTCTCTCTTTCTCTTTTTTTTTTTTTTTTTTTTTTGGTACTAGAGATGAACCTAGGGGCACTTAACCCAGCCCTTTTAAAATATTTTATTTGGAGACAGGGTCTCTCTGAGTTGCTTAGAGCCTCACTAAGTTGCTGAGGCTGGCTTTGAATTCACAATCCTCCTGCCTCAGCCTCCTGAGCCACTGGGATTACAGGCATGTGCCTCTATGCCTAGACTTTTGAGAAACCTCTGTACTGATTTCCATAGTGGTGATATAGATTATAATCCCACCAGAAGTGTAAAAGTGTTTCTTTGTTCCACATCCTCTCCAGCATTTACTATGGTTTGTATTCTTAATGACTGCCATTCTGACTGGCATGAGATGAAATTTCAGTGTAGTTTTAATTTGCATTTATGTGAAAATAATTTTTTTTTTTAAAGAGTGAGAGAGAGAGAAATTTTTAATGTTTATTTTTTAGTTTTCGGCGGACACAACATCTTTGTATGTGGTGCTGAGGATCGAACCCCGGGCCGCACGCATGCCAGGCGAGCGCGCTACTGCTTGAGCCACATCCCCAGCCCCATGAAAATAATTTTTGATGGCAATATTTTTAATTTTAGGTGGAAAGGAAAAAGAAGAAAACAGAAGAGTCACTGAAAGCAAGAGAGTATATGTTTCAAACAAACAACCCAAAACTCCTAAAAAACAGCGACCTAGGAAAAAACAGGTATCTTAAATTATAATACTTATGAACAAAGCTATAACATAAAGTCAGTTTATTACAGGTAAGATGAGACTTATATCCACATTAAAAGCTTTTATATTTCATTCTTCCAACAGATTCAATGTAAGATTTTTGTATGTGTAAAAACAAATAATTATATTGTTTGAGCAGAAAATTTTATTAAGGCAAGTCAATTTTAGGGTTTCATTTATTTATTTCCTCACTTGGTATAGTCCTGTACCATCTGTCCAATATCAGACTATTTTTTATTTATTTTATCTAATTTTTCTATTGTTTTTTTTACAGCAGGTAAATAAATCTGGTGCTTGTTACTCTATTGTTTCTGGAACTTTTTACTTTATTTCAGATGGTGTTTTTCTTGACAAGCAATCTGTAGATGGTTCCTATTGAAGTGTGATGGACAGCTAGCATCAAGTTGCAAGCCACTAGCGATATTATCTGTGACTCAAGGTTATATTGGCCTTGATATTTCCCTCAATGAATTTAACAAGCAGCTTCTACTTTTGACTTGTTTGCTACTCATACTACTTCTCTTTGATTCCTTTTTTTTTTTTTTTAAACCTGCTCTCTTTACCATTTGGAGTGATATTTGGTTGAGGGAAGCTTCTGCTGTTTGCACACCAGGGATATAGGGTGTGCACTTCATGGTGTGTTCCTTACTTTGGAAAATTATACACCACAGACCTTCTGAGATCTGAAGGCAAAGTAACTGTGCCCTACTTCCTCATATCCCTGTAAAGGTTTGTTGTAAAAAAAAAAAAAATCCTCCCCCGCACCCCCACAACACACTTTGTTTTAGTTTCTGTTCTTCAGAGTTTGGGATTTTGTTTATTTCCTTGTTTCTTTGGGTGAATTTTCAAAGGGAAAAATACGGACTTTATGCCACTGTATATGACCACAAGTCATAAGTAATTTTATGCTTGATTTTCTTTTTGCAGTTGAAATTCATGTATATAGATATTTTGTCATTTACTGTACTTGGTGTTCTCTAAGGTTCCTCAGTCTGTATTTTGTTCTTTGTCATTAGTTTTTGAGAATTCTCAGCCACTTTTACATCAAATCTACTATTCCTCTTTTTTTCTGGTGTTCCCATTATAAATATGTTACATCTTTTGTGATTTTTCTGAAGTTCTTGGAAAATTTTTCCCGTTTTTTTTATTCTTTCTTTTTTTCCCTCTTTGCTTTTTGATTTGAGAAGTTTCTCTTCACTGATTCCTCAGCTCTGTCTAGTCTATTAAAGAATTCACAAAAGACAATTCATTTTGTTACTGTGTTGTTGGTTTTAGCATTTTCCTTTGATTCTTTCATAGGTTTCCTATCTCTGCTTACATTTACCCCTCTGTACTTCCATGTGGTCTGGTTTTCTCTCAGAGGCCTTGGTGTATTAATCATAATCATTGTAAATTCCAAGCCTGACAATTTCTGTGATTATCTGCTTGAGAGTGTGGTTCTGATGCTTGCTTCATCTCTTCAAAAACTATTTTGCCTTTTAACATGCTTGCAATTTTTGTTGATAGCTGGATATTTATTGCATGTTGCCTTTGGTGTGAGGTTTTGTTTTTTTTGTTTTTGTTTTTGGTACTGGGGATTAAGTTCAGGGGCACTCGACCACTGAGCCACATTCCCAGTTCTAGTTTGTATTTTATTTAGGGACAGGGTCTTACTGATTTACTTAGCACCTTGCTTTTGCTGAAGTTGGCTTTGAACTCGTGATCCTCCTCCTGAGATGCTGGGATTACAGGTGTGTGCCACCACGCCCAGCTTATTTTATGAGGTTTTATGTTTGTCTAGCTTGGAGTTAGGCTGTGCTTTACTAAGTTTGCTGTAGCTTTTGGTGTGGAGGCTAAATTTTCCTCCAGTGTCCTTATTTTTGTCTCTAGTTACCTTTGGATTTCTCTTGAGGCTCCTTAATAGAGATCTAAGGCACCTCTTTTAGTTGAAATCCTGTGTTATATAGGCTCCTGATTAAATGTTGTGAGACAGGGAGAAGCATTTAAAAGTTCTGTGTATAGGTCTCATTCTTTAGTGAGCCTATGTCCTAGGCTGTGACTTTCAAATTGTACTAAAACTGTACTACTCATTAAATAGTAACTCTCCATTAATCCTTGCCCTCCTCTGCCAGTGACTATCATTCAACTATATTTGAATTTGACTGTTCTAGGCACCTCATTCAACTATATTTGAATTTGACTGTTCTAGGCACACTCAGCCTTTTGTGTCTAAATTACTTCACTTGGTATGTTGTTCCATGTTCATTCATGTTGTAGCATATGTTAGAATTTCCGTCCTTTTTAAGAATGAGTAATATTCTGTTATATCTATACACCACATCTTACTTTTATCCATTTGTCCATTGATAGGCACTTAAGTTGCTTCCACATTTTACTTGTTATGAATAATGCTTCTATGAACATGAATGCATGAATATCTCTTCTGAGTCCTTCCTTTCATTTCTTTTGAGTATATGCCTAGAATTAGAATCATTCATTGGATCATATGGTAGTTCTATTTGTAAATTTTTTGAGGAACTACCATATTGTTTTTTACAGTGGCTGCATCATTTTATATTCCAATCAATAATGCACATGAGTTCACTTTTTTCCCCTCATCCAAATAAGTCAAGATGATAAACTAGATTTTCTTTAAAAATGTGGAAGTCTAACCAGGTGTAGTGTACACACCCGTAATCCCAGTGGCTCTGGAGGCTGAGGCACGAGGATTACAAATTCAGGGTCAGCCTCAGCACCTAGGCCCTGTCTCAAAATAAAAAATAAAAGGGCTGGAAATGTAACACAGGGTTTAAGCGCCCCTGGGTTCAATCCCCAGTTAGCCCCTACCCCCACGCCACTCCCCTTCCCCCAAAAAGTAAGTCTAAAAATGCAGAAGTCTTCTTGGACATTTCCTACATAGTCTGGTAAAATTAAATAATAACAGATGATCAAACTCTCCTTGCCACCATAAGGAGTAATTAGTTAGTCACCTGTAGCAAATGCCAAATGTCAGTGATTTTTCTATGTATGGTATTCAATTTTATTTTTAAAATGTTGTCATTTTCTTCCAAAATGCCCTAAATGTTTTAAATTTTGTTTTGTCTTGGGTTTATGGCAGTTTTTGAACCCAAGAGCACTTTACTACTGAACAACATCCCCAGCCCTTTTTATTTTTTGAGACAGGGTCTTACTAAATTGCTGTGGGCCTCCTTAATTTTCTGAAGCTGGCCCCCCAATTTGGGATCCTTCTACCCCAGCCTCCATGTTGCTTGGATTGTAGCTATGTGCCACTGTGCCCAGGTAAATTGTATTTTTTAAAATTTTTTATTTCTTAAATTTTTTTTTTCTTCAATAAACCTTTATTTTGCTTATTTATATGCAGTGCTGAGAATCGAACCCAGGGCCTCACACGTGCTAGGCAAGTGCTCTACCACTGAACCACAACCCCAGCCCTAAATTGTATTTTTGAAAATTTATTATATACACACACATATACTTCCCTCAATGTTGGAAGAATAGGATTTTCACTGAGTTTGTTAATGAAGTACTAAACATTTATAAACTCTGTTTGAGGTGTGGAATAATATATAAAAACATCATAAGAAATAATGTACCTTAAGTTGGACAGATTGGTTTGGCTAGAAACCAAGTAGCTCTGTTGCTTAATAGCTGTCCTAGAGCTTATATAAAATGAACAGCAATAATAATTACCCTTAAAATGTTTAATGATGAAGATAAGTTTTGTAAGAAATAGAGAAATTCTTCCATCTTTAAGAGACTGTAAGTATTATTTTAACAAAAAACAGTTGTTCTTTTTTAAACAGTGTGCTGTTCTTACAGAATCATTTAGAAATAACTCTTCTACTTTTTTTAAAAGGCATGGCTTTGGGAAGAAGACAAGAATTTGAGATCTGGTGTGAGGAAGTATGGAGAGGGAAACTGGTCTAAAATACTATCACATTATAAATTCAACAACCGAACAAGTGTCATGTTAAAAGACAGATGGAGGACTATGAAGAAACTAAAATTGATTTGCTCAGACAGTGAAAACTGAATGTATTTGTTGAAGCTTGATAAAAGACAGTTAAATATTTTGATAACTACATTTTGTTTGAAACTTATTGGTCATTGATGTATCTCAAAATTTTTGTTTAAAGCATTATTTTTAGTTTAGCAAAGATTTGTGCTATAGAGTAAAATTATATGCCTCATTTTGTTCTTTAAGAATTTTTTAATTTTGATAAAGTGTAAATATGTTAACTCCAACCAAATTCAGTACTCCATCCCCAAATCTCGTTCCAGTAAAAAAATGAAACCTGACGAGGAAAAAAGCAGTTTTTTTATTTACCTATTTTGTGTCTATAAGGTACCTTCAGCCTCCTAAGACACAGCATGAAAATGAATTTTCTCACTAAGTGAACAGTAATAGTCCTTTTATATGAAACTTGATCTATGGCCTTAATATTCTACTTAATTACTAAAGCATTTGTTAATAGAGTGATAAATAAAGCTGTTTTTGTTTTCTTTTTTGATACTAAGGATTGAATCCAGGGGCAGTTAACTGCCAAGACACATCCCCAACTCCCTTCCACCTTTTTTTTTTTTTTTTTAACTTTTGATATAAGGTCTTGATAAGTTGATCAGAGCCTTGCTAAATCTCTGAGGCTGGCTTTGAACTTGCAATCCTCATGCCTCAGCCTTCTGAGTCGCTGGAATTACAGGCATGTGCCACTACACCGAGCTAAATAAAGCTTCTTTATAACCTGATGCTGAGTTCTCTGGGATGCTTTGATTTAATATGTCAATATTGGACATAAATAGTATTCTGTAAATGCTTAAGTTGTATTCACCATGATCATCTTTATATAGTATTAATAAATAAGGTTAAACATACCTTACTAGACAATTTGAATTTTCATTAATTTATTTAGATGTCCTAGTCAAATATTAATAGAATTATTTAGCATTTTGTGTTATGTGATTTGTTTAGCAAACAAGTATTGAAATATTCAGGTAGTTGTGTTAAAATCATATGTAATATTTTATGATCTTGTCCATTTCCTATTAAGTTTTTTATACTACTTTCTGATTGTTCGTGAAATTATGTTGTCCTTTATGCATAAACAGAAACATGAATAATTACTGTATGGTTCCTGACTCAGTCTGTCTTATTATACCGAAAATATTGTGTTTATCCAAGACATCAATGATTAATGCCAAAGTACCTTAAGTCAAAACAGACTTATAAGTCAACCACCTCATTCCAAACATGTACCATAAACCATCAAATCTAAATTGCCATTAATTGTATGATGCTTTGTTACTTCATATACTTAAAAAGAAAAATCACCATCGATTATACTATAGTTTGGTGCTTTCTTTGTTAAAAGTCTGTTTTATTAAAAGCTATTTTAGATTTATTTAAACAACATTCTTTTCATCTAACTTGTGAATATGTAAAAATTTTATAAGCTCAGTAATTTTGGTGGCATATTCCTAAAACATCCCTCCCATCTGAATCCTCTTTTTTTAAAAATTGATTTTTAAAAAATAGTTGTAGGGCTGGAGTTGTGGCTCAGTGGCAGAGTGCTTGCCTCGAACATGTGAGGCACTGGGTTTGATCCTCAGCACTGCATAAAAAATAAAAATAGTTGTAGATATACATGGAGTCTTAAGAGACAATGCAAAGATCCCTTGCATGCTTAGCTCAGTTTTCCCCAGTATAAATATTTTGTAAAACTGCAATATTATCACCGCCAGGAAATTGTACTAGTGGAATCCATTCATTTTATTCAGATTTCCCCAGTTTTGTACTTAGAGTCTAGTTCTAAACAATTTTATCGTTTGCATTCATCTCTCTACCAGAACCAAAGATCCTGAACAGCTCGATTATCATGAGAATCCTTTAAGTTGCTTTTGTATATGATACTTTCCTCCCCTGGCAACCACTAATCTATCCTTTATTTCTAAAGTCTAATCATTTTTAAATATTATGTAAGATGATGTCACCAAAAATAGTATAGGGAACTCCCAAGATCTGGCCCTCTACTGAAATAACCATGAAGTTGACAAGAGTCAAAATTTTGGAACTTCAATATCTAGTACAAATCTAGAACAACCAAGGAAATACTTCATGAAACAATTTTTGTGTGTGTGTGTGTGTGTGTGTGTGGTACTGGGGATTGAAACCAGTACTACTACTGAGCTAACCAAGGTGCCCGGGCTGGCCTCGAACAAGATCTTTCTGCCTCAGCCCCCTGAGTTGCTGGGATTACGGGTATGTACCATTGCTCCTGGTGAAAACTGTTAAATTTTGGTTGAAGTTTTGGTGCTTTTCCTTACCCTCCTACCATACCCTAGTCCTCAAGTTGGCAACTGCTGTGGCAACTTAGTGCCAAAGATTGCAATGTAGATATTGTCCTCAAAAAACAGGTTGTGCATTTTGACCTGTTTGTTCCTGAGGTTCAGCTCAAAAGTTTGCATTTGTTTCACACATACCTCCTCACCGCTGAGTTGGACCCAACCTCCAGAGTGGTGTTGTCAAAAGCTTTTTAAAATAGGCTATCTGCAGCCACCTGGGGAAAGGGATGGGATAAGCAGCAACAGACTAAAAAACCTGAGAGGAAACAGCTGGGGAAGAGAGGTGTGGGGGAAGCTCCAGCTCTCACATATACCAGGGAGTCTGGACATGCCCAGGACTGGACACATTCAGAGAAAAACCTGAGTACTAGAGACCTGCACCTCTGACTGATCTTTAGGTTCTACAAAAGGAGGACGCCAAATCAGAGTTGTAGGTGGCCTGGCCATGGGTTGAAGAATTGCTCTACTCTGATCCAATCTGCAAAATGTGGGAGAGTATTTTTTTTTTTGTTTTACTCTTGTGACATTAAAGGAATTAAATGAAATATAAGTATCCATCATCTTTGACTCAATCCAAATTGTATGTAGCTATGGCTTATTTTCATTTCTACACCATTTTCCATTATATAGTTATACCAGTTATTGTGCTATTGATGAAAATTGAGTTGTGAAAATAAATGAAGACCATCCAATAATGAAAATAAACATTTATTCAGCACTTGCTGTAGCAAGAGCCCATCACAATCCCTTGTATATGGCAGGCACATGTTTCTGGCAGGTCAGCATTATACTATTGATACTGCTGTTTAACCAGGGAAAAGTCCTGCTTCCTCACGTTTTGAAGTGTAACAATAGAGAAGTGTGCTGAGGCAAGCATATAAAGCAGGGTTTATTTTAAAAGGGGTAACATTTCTCCCAGGAGGGAGAAAGGGACCATAGCTGGTATCCCAAGAAGTGAGATATTCTGCCATTTTTTGTCCTAGGCTTCCTTTGTTCTGCTCTCTTGCCTTTATCTCTCTCCTTCCTGTGTGTGTGACTAGGCCTAGGAAATGCTCAGTAGGGTGGCCAAGAAGTGGGAAACAGGTGAGCTGAAGGGAGAAGAGCAGGATGGAGCAGCCCAGGACACGTTAAATAACTTTATAGCTCCCTGTAGGGAGGGGCAATTCCTGGGACACGTTACCTTAGCAATAGGTTGGAGCAGGTGCAGGTTCTTGATAAGGGTTGGAGGAAGGGCTCTGAAGGAATTAACATTTCAGTCCCTCAGGGGGCAGTCTCCAACTCACTCAGATTGGCCTCCTTGATCCGACCTGACTCGATTTACCTGTATCTATACTGACTGCCTGTCTAATTCTGGCTTCACTAGTGCAAAACTAACAAACTTCAGACACTCCGGAAGTTTTTGACATGAGGAAACTGGACACGAATCAAATAGCAGCAGACATTTTATGGGATTGTTTCAGGAAACATTTGGCTTTTTCTTATTGGTCCGAGTCAGAGGTGAGGGCAAAGTATTGGAATGTTGGCAGCCAAGTCCTGGCCATTGAATGGATCGCTTAGAGGGGTTTGGGTTTGGCTTCTAGGACTGGTAACATTTCACATGAAGTATAATATTAGGATAATGGTAGCTCAAACCAAGAAAAGTTAGTTATAAATATTGTGGTCATTAGATTAAAAAATACATTAAGCCAGGTGTGGTGGCACAGGTCTGTAATCCAGGGACTCTAGACTTCCAAGACAGGATGATCGCAAGTTTCAGGCCAGCCTCAGCAATTTAGTGAGGCCCAGTGTGAAAATAACAAAACAGAGGACTGGGGAAGGGAAAGGGAGACTGGGGATGTACCACAGTGGTAAATGCCCCTGTGTGAAATCCTCAGTACCAAAAAATTTAGAAATACACTAAACGATAATTAAAAACAATAGAGATTGAAATGCTTTACTAAAAATCATTTAATGCAAAAACAAAGGAGGGAAGCAAAAACCACAAGGACAAAAAATGGTACAACCTACATCAAATCCCATCAATAATGACATTAAATATTACAATCTAAGCCCTGGGATGTGGGAGAGTTGTTGGCAAACCTTTTCTACAAAGGACCAGATAGTTAATATTGTAGGCCATAGTCTGTGCATACTCTGCTTGGAATTAATTCTAGACGATATATCAGTGGGTATAGCTGTGTTCTGATGATTTTACAAATAATTTTATTACTCTTATACCACTTACAGTCCCCCTCCTGTATATGTGTGTGTGTGTGTGTGTGTAATTTAATTTACACATAATTTACAAAAATAAATAGCTTAGCTTTAGACTACTGGCTGTAGTTTGCTAACTTGATTTTGTTTACTTCCTTTAAAATTTATTGGATTCTTTCTGGCAGTTATTCTGGTTTTCGTTCTTTGTTTTTGGTACTGGGGATTGAACCCAGGGTTGCTTAAGCGCTGAACCATATCCCCAACCCTTTTTATTTTTTATTTTGAAACAGGATCTAAGTTGCTAAGGCTGGCCTAAAGCTTGTGATCCACCTGCCTCAGCCTCCTGAGTTGCTGGGATTACAGATGTGCCACCACCGTGCCCAGTGCCTCACATGTGCTAGGCGAGTGTTCTACCACTGAGCCACAACCTCAGCCCCTGGTGTAGTTTTCTTAAAGCCATCCATCCTCTGCCAATCGCAAGCTGTCTTCTCTCTCCTGAGTACTCCTCATTTCCTGCACCCTCTGCTTGGTTTACACTACTGTTTAAGTTGACCACCTCCTCCCTGAAAGGGTGCACAGAATGGAAAATTTTTGTATCTTACATGTCCGAAAATATCATTCTAGCCTCACATTTGATTCATAATAATTTTATTGAACACAGCATTTTTTGTAACTTCTTACCCAAATTTTACTCTATTACTCTATTCTAGCTTCAAATGTTGCTTTAGATAAATAATTCAATACTATCCTAATACTGATCCTTTACATGTGACCTGGCTTTTCCTCTCAGGTTTTCGATTCTTCTATATATCTGAAGATCTGGAATTTCATGATAATGTGCCTTGGTGTGATTTTAAGTTTCACAGATTTGTCTCAAGGGGAAGGAACTTTTTAAAAAATTCATCTTATGCTCAGTGGGAGCATAAGATGCTCCCCACTCTAAGGAAGAATAGCTTTTACATCTCACTCCACCATCTTCTCCACAAGAATGGGTCCCTCTATCCACGTCTACTGATCATCCATCAGTAGAATGTCATTTGCTTCCAATCTTCACAAAGATTCTTTAAAATCACTGAGCTTCTCATCTATTTATGGATTCGGTCTCTTTGGTAAGTCCTGTAACCTCAAGTGGGTTTGAAGAGAGAGTAAATATGTGCATCTGTCACAGAAACCTAGAGGTATCGCTTCCCTTTAAAATGCTCATCTTCTGATTGCTTAAACTGCAGAATACCCAGGGCTTGCCTTCTAAGTCAACTTGCAATTGTTGGTATGAAACTTCACTAAAATATTCTTAGAGGGCACAAACCTGTTTCTTTTACATCTGTTTTGTGCCTACCTGGAAAAAAATGGTTAATTAAAATCTTTATGCCAGAAGAGACCCAAACAATATAAATTATTGCTATTTATGCTTAATTATGACATTTTCAAATAAAAACAAGACTCATAAAAAAAAGATTGGTGCAATTATAGTTCATCTTGGTCCCCCCCACTCCCGACTCTTCATTTTTCCTTCTTTTCCACTTTTCTACATGATCATTATTTCTAATTCCTTTCCCCTTCTTTCCTGGTAGGCATATTTATTTTTGTTCAAATTACTTTCCACATTCACTTTTGAAAATCAGTCTAATAAGTGATTTTGAGTCTGTAAATCATGGCAGAGTGCCTGCGGAAAGGACCCTGACACTGGGGCTTATTAAAAAAGAACTCCAAGAGGTCTCTAAATACTTTGATCTTTAACTTTGAAAATAAAAACTTTGGGTTCTTCATTAATCACATGGACTACGTGTTTCAGTTCTGACATGTTTCCTCGAGCTTGGCTAGAATTAATAACGAGCTTTTCAAAACCATTATTTAATAGTTACGTCTGCTAGCTTAGGAAATTTTCTCAAGAATAAAAGTAGCAAAAATATAACTTCAATATGAAAGTAATTAGTGGTTATGCACCAAAATAAAATGCATAAGGTGAAAAATGGATTATGTTAAATGTTGGAACACATATTGGAACCATAAATGCATCAGAGCTTTATTTATTTATTTATTTATAGTTGTGTATGGACTCAATGCCTTTATTTGTTTTTATGTGGTGCTAGGATCGAACCCAGTGCATCGCACTTGTGAGGCAAGTGCTCTGCCTCAGCCACAGCCACAGCCCACACTATTGCTCTTAGTGATTATTTCACCTTGTTGTTGTTATTTTTCTTTTGGTGAAATTTTTATGCATTCTCTGACCATTCCAGAAGTTTGGGGTTCTTTTTTTTAGTCAAACCAGTGAAGAACTTTTATAAATCTAATAAGAAAGTTTATTTACTGATATAAACATTTTAAGCAACATTGGAAAATACCCAGAGACATCATCAAAAATCTTGCTTTATAATTGATTAAAAATGGGCTTAAAATGTTAATACTGACATTATAATTAAAGTCGGTAGCCTGGGTGAGATTCAAATTTTTTATCATTAATTTCTAACATTGATTTTCCCTTAAAATAATTTTGGCAGTTAAATCAGGATATAGTCAGAAACATTACTACTCTCAGTGTCACATATTGGGGACTTTTCCATCCCTTTTCTATCTTGCTGTTGTCATTCTGTTATTACATGATAAATTCCAAGAAATATGTGTTTTAGGGCATGGTGGCACACGCCTATGATCCCACTGACTTGGGAGGCCAAGGCAGGAAGATTGCAAGTTTGAGGTCAGCCTGGACAACTTAGAAAAACCCTGTCAAAAATAAAAAGGGATGGGGGTGTAGCTCAGTGGTAAAGTGACCTTGTGCTGAACCCTGGTATTTTGCCTGCCCCACCAAAAAAAAAAAAAAAAAAAAAAAAAGAAATATTTATTTTAGTAAACTGTTTATTAGTAAATAACTATATAATAACATTGAAATCAGAGGAATTTTATATGATTTAAATCTCAAGAGTCAATCCTTCAAAGGAAATATTCTGAATATAAAGCCTACTTCAAAACTGAAATATTTGGCATAGTCAGCTTATTACTGAAGCTGAGCACCAGTGAGGAGCCGGGTCTAGGCTCCGTGGCTGTCTGCAGAATGACTTGTCGTCCCAGACCCTTTAGCTCACCAAGTCGCCTTGAGTTCAGTGATCTCCTGCTAGAGTAAGGAGACTGACATCAGGAGATGTCAGTAGGAAAGATCACAGCATTCATAGTGAAATCCATGCCTCTTCCTCTGCCTTCCACCCAAAACATAAGAAAATGCATGCTGCAGAAAAAAGAGTAGTACACACACTTCAACTAAACTTGAAGTTGGGCTCTGAAAGAGTATTCCATTCAACTTCAGACTTTAAGCTTTGGAAATAATGTTAGATGCAAATAGTGGTAGAATTTTTCATCATGAAAGAAATTGTTTCATTCGTTGGCACCAAAATTTCTCTTCATGAAAATTATAACATTTAAAAGAATTCCTATTGGCCTAGAATGGGCATTTCACTAATCTTTCCAATTAACTGAAGAAAATGTCTTCTTCATAATATTTTTACAGCCAGATGAGGTGGTGCACGTCTGTAATCCTGGTGGCTCAGGAGGCTGAGGCAGGAAGATTCCAAGTCCAAAGCCAGCCTCAGCAAAAGCAAATTGCCAAGCAACTCAGTGAGACCCTGTTTCTAAATAAAATACAAAATAGGGCTGGGGATGTGGCTCAGTGGTCAAGTGCCCCTGAATTCAATCCCAGTATCTCCACCCTCAATATTTTTAGCATAGTTGGTTGGCTTTTCATTGCAAAATGCTCACTGAAATTTTAAACAACTTGCCCTGTGGAAAATATTGGGGATAATTTGCTTGAAATTATTGATTCAGGATTTATGGAATATTGTATGGGAAATATGTGTGATTTTTTGGGGGGGTGGGTGGGTATGGGAAATTGATTTCAGGGGTGCTCTACCACTGAGCTACATTCCCAGACCTTTTTATTTGGAGACAGGGTCTTGCTAAATTGCTTGAGGCTGGCTTCAAACTTGCAGCCCTCCTGCCTTAGCTCCCTAAATGGCTGAGATTTCAGACCTGTGTCACAGTGCCCAGCTCTATAACATTGTTTTTTTAAAGTGAGGAACTTTTAAGATATATGGAATAGAGAGAAAAGGATGCAAGTCAAAGTGTAGTTACCCTTAAATAATAACTTCCTCCAAAGCGGAGCATGGGATAGTAATTCTAGTGCAAACCAACACATATTTTGTGACTGGATGGAAGGTCAAGGACATAAAACCTCAGGAGCATTTCTAAGTCCTCAACTTATAAAAGTAAGATATATAGACATTCCTTGAGAATGTTCCTTGAGAATTAGCCTCTAATTTTTCTTTCTATACTTCAGTGTATGGCAATGATGTGTTCAGGAACTTGGGCCCAACAGTTTTTAGAGTTTCTGAAGTGTTACACACAACCTAACAATATTCAGCATGCTTACAAACACATCTTGAAATAGTTACATGATGATCTATATAAAAATAAAACTGTGAACTGCTGGACAAGAACAGTGGTCTACTCGCCGGACTTTTTTCCAAGTTCCTTGACATCGAGGATTGCCGATTGCTTGCCAGTGAAGAGTCTGATTTCTGAAACAATATTTTTGAAAATGTTAGTCACGATAATAAGGCCAGCCCCGACAACTTTGCAAGACCCTGTCCCAAAATAAGTAAAAAGGACTGGGCATGTAGCTCAGTGGTAGAGCACCACTGGTTTCAATCCCCAATCACAGAATTTTGAAGTTCATTACTAATAGAATTTTTTAAAAAACATAACCATAAAGGGGATTTCTTTTCCTTAGATTCCATCAAAGTAAGTTTCCATTTGATCCCTATCTGAGGACACTCTCATGGTGGAAGAGTTGTTTGTTCAATTCACTGTGCCCACAGGGCTGAGGATATAGCTCAGTTGATTGAGTGCCTCCCTCACATGCACAAGGCCCTGGGTTCAATCCCCAGCACCACCAAAAAAAGTCAATTCACTGTGTTCACTGTATTCAGTTCTCCTACTTGATCTGAATACAAGTGTCACATAAAGGTGAATGGCTATTTCAATTTATATTTAAATTATAAAGCTACCCAATTACCTCTTTCATCCCTTTCCAATTCTTTGATTTTGTAATGAAAAAATGAGAGTAATGAAAAGAGAGTGAAGCCATATTATTAAAATTATTATTTTTAAAGTCACTAGTGCCTTAACCAGGGTTTAAATATTTACTTTATTAGGTACAAATTGAATTATAAAATCATTTAAAGTCAAAATATGGATGAGGTATTCAGAAAAATATTAAATCTAAATATTAACTTTCATTTGATATGCATTCCTCACCAGCTTTATTGTTCATATGGTGTATGCAATAGAGGCCTTCCTTTGGGCACAAGTGACTAATGAACATAAATTCAAATTATTAAGTATTAAAGCATACAACAGGAATAACGATTGACAGGAAAGTTCAATATTTTGGTTCTTAATCTGTATTTTGATCAGTTTCATCTAACATTCTTAAAACTATAATCCAAGTATGACCTAAATTGGTCCTTGTCCCATAGCTGATCCAGTGTGAAGTTGACCCTTCTCCTAGTTATAAATGGTGTTATCAGGACTAGGGTAGATTTACAGGATGGCAAATGTTTTTGGCATCAATTCTTTCAGAAAAATCTATAGATGTATGTGGAGTTATTACCCTAGAGAACTGAGCCCATGACTCTATCCCTTTATGACTTAATGACAAAGCCCCTTTGGGCAGTAGTTCTGAAATGTCACCGTGGGTTTGAATCATCTGGGCAGGGTCAGCAGGCTATGACCCCTCATAGGCCAAATCTGACCTACGACCTCTTTTTGTACAGATTGTGAGTTAATAATTTGTACAGTTTCAAGTATCAAAAAGGAAAAATCAAAAGAATGATATTTTGTAACACATTCAAATTTTAGTATCCATAAATAAAGTTTTGTTAGAACAAAGCCCAAGATTTACACAGCATGTATGGCTGCTTTCATGCCACAGTGTCAGAGTTGAGTAGTTAAGATAGTAGCTGCTGTATGGGATGCGAAGCTGAAAATATCTACTCTCTGGCATTTTATAGAAAAAAAATTCTGACCTCTGACCTAAGAGATTATTAAGAAACTACATCAGCCAGGCCTGTTGGCACACACACACCTATAATCCCAGAGATTTAGGAGGCTGGGACAGGAGGATCCACAATTTTTGAAGCCAGCCTCAGCAGTTTAGGAAGACTCTGCAACTTATTAAGACCTGGTCTCAAAATATCAAATAATAAGGACTAGGGATGTAGCTCAGTGGTAAAGCACCTCTGGGTTTAATCCCCGGTACCAGGAAAAAAAAAAAAATCCATTCCCCCAAATTCTGATTTCAGCTGGTCTGAAGAGGGATTAAGAATTTGCATATTTTAAATCTCCATTCTAAGAGATTCAGATACAAGTTGTCTTCAGAATGTGGCTTTGGAGCGAACAGGTTTTCAGTGGTCATCTGAGAGCTTTAAACTAAATGACCCAAATGAAATTGACCCATGCAGTTATGGTATTGAAAGCCTCTGAGTTCCACAGAGAAAACTGAAGTCCTGGGCTTGGGGGCAGCTGCACAGATGTTTCTCCTCGCTGCCCAGATCATGCCTTTTTGTGACACACTGGTCAGCCACTCTGGGTGTGGAGAGGACAGATCCTCAACATGAGTAACAAGTCCTTCCATCAGTTCCCATCCTTACCCGTCAGAGTCCAGGCCATCTCCAGAACAACGAAGGCTCACAGAATTCATGGCCGGGGGCTGACAGTCCACACACACGGTGTATCCCTCTCGGAGATACTGCATCCACCGCGTCAGGGGCCGGTTCTCCAGAGCACAGTGAGGAGTCAGGGACTCTGTCTTGAACTCCATACAGTATCTAGAGCAAAAGAAGTAATAATGTCACTTGCTAGCACCAGAGGTGGCCTGACACTGTGGAAAGTCTTAGGAAGTCGTCATCTCCAGTGGCATCTGGCAGACTGGAACATGGAGTCACATCTTCACAAGTCACACACGATTCACAGAGTTCTTCAAGTTTCTTTTTCACTAAATGCTGACAACATGCGACTGACCACCATAGAAAAGCTTTTTAACTCTTTTTCAATCCGTTAGTGAATTATCTGGTCAACAGAAATTTGCAGATTTAGATAGCCTCTATCCTTTCCAATCAGATCACTAAATTGTATGTACAGGCACATGTTTTACTAGCAAACCAGCCCTTGGTAGTTTGGCTTGTGTTCTAAAGAATTATATAAATTGAACCAGGCGTGACAGCACATGCCTGTAAACCCAGCAACCCAAGAGGCTGAGGCAGAAGGCTCACAAGTTCAAGGCCAGGCTGGGCAGCTATGTGAAATTCTTGTTTAAAAAATTTAAAAAGGGGCCAGGGATCTCCTCAAACATTTATTATTTATTATGTTAAAAACTTTAAAGGGGCTTGGGGTTGTAGCTCAGTGGTAGAGCACTCTCCTAGCACATGCAAGGCCCTGGGTTCGATCCTCAGAACCACATAAAAATAAATAAATAAATAAATAGAATGGAATAGAATAAAGGTGTTGTGTCCAACTACAACTAAAAAATAAATATTAAAAAAGGGGGGAGGGAGCAGGAATGTAGCTCAGTGGTAAAGCGCCTCTGGTTCAATTCCCAGTACCAAAAGAAAGGTTGGGGGAAGGGAGGTAGGCTGGTGGTACATGACTGTTATCTCAGTGACTTAGGAGGCTGTGGCAGGAGGATCCCGAATTAGAGGTCAGCCTCAGCAACTCAGCAAGATTCTATCTTCAAATTTTAAAAAAGGGCCAGGTGCAGTGGCACACACCTGTAATCACAGTAGTTTGGGAGATTGAGGCAAGAGGATCACAAGTTCAAGGCCAGCCTCAGCAGCTTAGCAAGGCCCTGAGCAAATTAGTGAGACCCTGTCTCAAAAAATAAAAAGGGCTGGAGATGTATGTACCTCAGGGGTAAAGCACCTCTGAGTTTGAGCTCTGGTACGACAAGGGTTAAAAAAAAGTTACATAAATTGAACAAGCATTTGCATGAGTCTGAGAACCCTTAAATATGAATTCAAGAGGGTATATCCTCAACACCCAGGCCAGCACCTGTGCTGTTAGTCTCATAAATGTTCCCAGCACTCACCTTCCCCACCCAACCCACCTGCATGATCTGTTGTCACACTGATGAACATTGAAGTTACATCAGGCATCACAGATGAGAACAGAAACGGGGAGCTGAGTAACGTTTTCTATGACAGGTTAGTGTCACCTTATACTGGGCTGTGGAAAACTCTACCATGTATGTCTAGACTCTGAAGGTCCCAGGGGAGCATCCAGATATGAGTAAATATTTGAAAATTTTGTAGTTAAAAGAAACATGATTTTCCAGTTCTCAGGGAAACAAAACATAATATAAATCCTGAGTTGCCATAGTAGAAACTTGTATTTTCAGCTCAATGGAATAATTTCTTATCTATCAAATTATGATTTGTAATAGTTTAAATGGAAACTGTTTGGAGAGTCTGCTTCAAAAATCTTTTTTTTTTTTTAATTTTCATTTTCACTGCTTCAAAGATATTTAACAGCTGAGCGTGGTGGCGCAGGCCTGTAATCCCAGCGAGTTGGAAGGCTGAGGCAGGAGGATCACAAGTTCAAAGCCAGCCACAGCAACTTAGGGAGACCCTGTCTCAAAATAAAAAGTAAAAGGGGCTGGGGATGTGACTCAGTGGTAAATTGCCTCTAGGTTAAATCTCTAGGAGAGAGAGAGAGAGAGAGAGAGAGACAGATCTTTAACAATGGTAAGTACTACTTATTAGTAACTAAAGGTAACTGGTATCTTTAGTTATTAAGGTAGGAAATTCTGATATGCAGCTTCAGTCAACCCCAGACACCTTAACCCAGACATCTCTGCAATGTTATATTCTATTAAATGCTCATACCAAACCCATGTGGTAGGTATTAATATTCTTTAAAGAGAAAAAACTGAAGGGGAACAACTTAAGTCAAATGAGTGGCCTCGTGAGGATCTGAATATGCAGCCATCTGGTCTCCCTTAACTAATGGCAGAAGAGTGGACCCAAGTGAGCACAGGGATGGTTTCAATAAGAACCCTCTACCTAAGCATGGTGGTACACCCCTGTAATCCCAGCTAAGACAGGAGGATTCCAAGTTCAAAGCCAGCCTGGGAAACTTAGCAAGACTGTTTCAAAATAACAAATAGAAAGGTGTGTAGCTCACTGGTAGTGTGCCACTGGGTTCAAGCCCCAGTACTTAGTGGGGGGGAAAAAAAAGAAAGAAAGAAAAAAATCCTCAGGTTGAAGTGTGTGCCACTTTCAAATTCACCAGAGATGGTGCTAGAATCCATGGTTCCCTAGAGGGACACCCTTAGCATAATTAATCAAATAATATCATCTCATTTTTATACAGTTTGCTTCTTTTTAGAGATCAGGCACAGATAAATACAGTCCCACAAAAATGGGGGATCAGTACATTCCGAGTCTGGTGAAGGGTCCTATTTTCTTGGAAGTCAATGAACAAATAACAGAAGAAAACAGTGGAACCAAGTTGACTCTTCTGAATAGACTTGACTATACAACTGGAAAAACATAATAAGAGCACATTACCCGGCATCCTCTGTGTGCGTAGACCACTGTGGAGATGCAGCTTGTCTTGTTCTCTCCTTGTTGAAGGCAGAGGTAGTTATGAAGGCAGGGACTGGAAGAGGGAGAATTATGTTGAATCCACACAAAGTACTCAGAGCAGTTTCCCGAACTTGGTTCCATGCCCATCTCAAGGTCTCCATCTCCAAAACCCACGCTTGGTACACCATCAAGGAGTGAAGTAAGGCGCATTACAAAGTCCGCAGAATCAAATTGGTTAAAGACCTGTGTGCTGGCAGATGGCAGAGAGGGCACCTGCAGGCCTCTGACAAGGCTGTTCCTCTGAGACTAACCTGAGGAGCCAGGAAGAAAAACCAGGAAATGATAAAAAAGATGAGGAGAAGGCAAGGGGGTTAAGAGAGGTGATAGAGATTACAGGAGAAAGAGAAAGGACCTTTTCAATAAATGAAAGGAAGAGCTGGGCGCGGGTGGCACATGCCTATAATCCCAGCAGCTCAGGAGGCTGAGGCAGGAGGAGCACAAGTTCAAAACCAGCCTCAGAAATGGCAAGTCGCTGAGCAAGTCAGTGAGAGCCTGTCTCTAAATAAAATACAAAATAGGGCTGGGGATGTGGCTCAGTGGTTGACTGCCCCTGAGTTCAATCCCTGGTTACTACCCCTGCCCCAATAAAGAAAGGAAGATCTAGGTGGTGGCAGCAGGCCTGTAATCCCAGGGGCTCAAGAGGCTGAGGCAGGAGGATCACAAGTTCAAAGCCAGCCTCAGCAATGGCGAGGTGCTAAGCAACTCAGTGAGAGCCTGTCTCGAAATAAAATACAAAATAGGGCTGGGGATGTGGCTCAGTGGTTGAGTGCCCCTGAGTTCAATCCCCCGTGCCAGAAAAAAAAAAAAAAAAAAAAAAAAAAACAAGAAAGGAAGAGAAATAGAGAAGAAAAGAGAAAAAGAGGGGAAATAAAGTAAAAGAATAAACAGGAGAGAGAAGGAAGGAAAATCAAAGAGAGAGAAAATGAGATGAAAGGAGAGAGAGCAATCAGAGAGAGAGGAAATGAGAAAAGACAAAAATAAGAGCAGAGGAAGGTGCTCCTTAGCCTCCTGGTAACGACATCCTGGAAGCTTTGCCCCCCACACAGTGCCCAGCTGTGTCTGCCCCATGCCAGCCAGCACAGCAAGTCCCCTTATGGCCCTGGGGAAAGGAAGTTCCCAGGGACCCCCTTCTTCTCCTCCTTCTTCCCCCACCCCCACCCCCAACTCTGACACTCAGGGTCAGAGAAAAGAAAAGGAGCCAGGGCACACTCATACATTGCTGGTGGGACTGCAAATTGATGCAACCACTCAAGAAAGCTGTATGGAGATTCCTTGGAAAACTGGGAATGGAGCCAAAATTTGACCCAGCTGTCCCCCTCCTAGGTCTATACTCAAAGGACTTAAAAACAGCATGCTATATTGATGCAGCCACATCAATGTTTATAGCAGCACAATTCATAATAGCCAAACTGTGGAGCCAACCTAGATGCCCTTCAATAGATGAATGGATAAAGAAACTATGGTATATATACACAATGGAATATTATTCAGCCATAAAACAGGATAAAGCCATGGCATTTGCAGGTAAGTGAATGGAGTTGGAGAATATCATGCTAAGTAAAGCCAATCCCCAAAAAACAAACGCTGAATGTTTTCTCTGATAAGTAGATGCTAATCCATAATGGACGGTGGGAGGGATGAGTGGAGAAACTTGGGATGGGGCAAAGGGGAGGGGGCATGGGGATGGGGCAAAGGGGAGGGGGCATGGGGATAGGAAAGACGGTGAAATGAGATGGACATCATTACCCTTGGTACATGTATAATTGCATAACAGTGTGACCCTACTTTGGGTACAACCATAGAAGTAAAAAATTGTGTTCCATTTGTGTATAATGAATCGAAAAGCACTCTGCTGTCATGTATAACTGATTAGAACAAATAAATAAATTTTAAAAAATAAGAAAGAAAAGGAGCCAGGAATCCCTCCTGCCTCTCTGATCTCTCCCATTTCTTGGTGTGTCTCGCCCCTGTCTCATCACACAGTCTAGGAGGGAGTCTGTTGCTATACACAGCAATCACAGCAGCCTCTTGATTCCACTCTGCGATCATCTCAAGAAAGGCAGGGTTATGTGTTGTCCATTACACACCTCTCACACGTTTACATGCCCAGTAAAGAGTTGTGCAGCCCAGCACAGTGGTGCACACCTGTAACCCCTGGTACTCAAGAAGCTGAGGTAGGAGGATCGCAAGTTCAAGGCCAGCCTCAGCAACTTAGTGAGGCCCTGTATTTAAAAAAAAAAAAAAAGTGCTGGGGATATCATTCGTGGTAAAGCCCTTTGGATTCAATTCCTATTGCCAAATAAATATGTAAATAAAGTTGTGCAGTGAGTGGATGGGCCAGTGCGTGAATGAGAAAAAGTCATGGGATTGCCACCAAAACACACAGGTCCTACTTCCCCAGGGTCTTCTGTTTCTATACAGTTGTTCCTCAGTATCCATGGATATTTAGTTCCAGGGACTCAAGAGTATACCCAAAGCAGCAGATGCTTGAGTCCCTTAAGTAAAATGGCACAGTACTTGCATATAACCTATGTATATCCTCCCATATACTAATTTTGTGTGTGTGCATGTGTGGTGCTGAGGGTTAAACCTAGGAATTTGTGCATGCTAAACACACTCTCTATGCTGAGCTACTGCCCCATCATAAACTTTAAATCATATGTCAGTGCTATGAAAATAATTGTATGCTATTCTAATAGTTTAGGGAATAATGGCAAGAACAAGTCTGTACATGTTCAGAACAGAGGCAATTCCCTGCCCCCCCCCCCCATACTTTCAGTCCCGGTTGGTTGAATGTGCAGATGCATAGTCTTTGGCTATGGAGGCTGACTATACTGAGCCTTGCAACTGAGATGCTCAACAATCCTCCCACCTTTTGTTTTAGAAACTCCCAAGAAGGGCAGACACAAGCTGCTGTTGGCTCACAAGATGCCAAAGTCATCATCATCCTGAGCAAAGTGGCATGAGGGCACTAGATGCCAAAAATGTTCGCTGATTTTAGCTGACTCCTTTCTGCCACCAGATGGCAGACTTCAATTCTTTCTTAGATTTTTCTTAATGAGGAGTCCCTTTTTTTTATATTACTAGAGCAATCCAACTCTTGCGCCAAGAGTTGTAGGTGTAGTTCTTGTCTCCTATGGTTTGGTGCCTAATCTCTCCAGTACGACAATTGTCTACACCTAGAGTAATCTCTACAGTCCCAGCGTATGAGACTTTTTCTTGCAAAAAGTTTATTTTCCAAATTAAGCATGTCATGCTTTCTAAATGTGGCTGTTGCATTTCTAAAACCCACAGACCGAATTAAGAAAAGCAAGTGAAAGAATGTGTCCAGATCCTTCCCTGTGTCTCTCAGACCCGATAATCAGAAATAAAACATCTAAAGGATTTTAGCTTTCCAATACACTTTCATTTCTGTTCTTTGACACATAATTGTGAAGAATAAATTTACCACTAAGTCCTTGTAGCTTCTCACAAGTCAAAATATAAAACCTTCAGGATATGTCTCTTTAGTTCAAACCATATGATCTAATTTGTCCTGCATATGTCATTACAAAACTTCAAAGGAGCTGGATGTGGTGGCACATACCTGTAATCCCAGTGGCTCAGGAGGCTGAGGCAGGAGGACTGTAAATTCAAGGTCAGCCTCAGCAACTTAGTGAGGCCCTAAGCAAGTTAGCAAGACCCTGTCTCCCCAAAAAGGGGGGGTTTCTCCGTGGTTAAGCACCCCTAGGTTTAAACCCTAGTACCAAAAAAAAAATTAAAAAAAAATAATGCTTCAAAAGTTTGGCACTTAATGTATAGCTCAGGTTAGGAAGTAGAAGGGAAATAAATATATGACTATAGTTTCTAAATAGAATCCTTAGAAAAAGTTCTATAATTATACAAGTAAAAGTTGACAATTATGCACTTCTAGCTGGGCACAGTGGTACATTATGAGGCAGGAGGATCATAAATTTGAGGTCAGCCTGGGCAACTTAACAAAAACTTCTCTAAAAGAAAAAAAAAAAGGCTGGGGATATAGCTCTGTGGTAAAAGAACCCCAGAGTTCAATCCCCAGTATTGAAAAAAAAATTATGCACTTCTATATCCAGTCACAACACAATGCTAAGTCACTTTTCATACACTGATTCATTTCATTCTTACAACCACGCTTAGAGAGGTATCCTATTATTTCCGCATTTCACAGACAAGAAAACTGTAATACAGAGAGGTTAAGAAATGTGTTCAAAGCTCATGTCTAAACATGGCAGAGCCAGGCAAGGTCTCCCAAGCATACTTTTTTAAAAAAAATTTATTTTGAGGCAGGACCTCACTAAGTTGCTGAGGCTAGCCCTCAATTTGTAACCCTCCTGCCTCAGCCTCCCAAGTAGCTGGGATTACAGACATGCCCCACTGCACCTGGCCCCAAAACATACTCTATGATAATGCAGATTATAGAATTCTGCTGTTCTATGTGGCATGTTTCCTCCGAAGTGTTTAAATTCTGCTCTATTTTCTCCTTCTGTCCCTAATCATCACCCTCAGGGTCAAATATTTAAGAAATAAAAGGGGAAAACTGTGGCCCATTATACTCTGTCATGCAAGAGGTGTGGGAGAAGGACAGCAGTGGGCAGAGATTCACACTGCAGTACGGTGGCCCCTGGTGTAGCCTGCTGCTTAACGGTGTAATTTCACACCATACGTTCTCATTCTTCACAGAAATGTTGCAAAGAGGTGATACACCAACCTGATTACTCAGAAAACAGGCTCACAGAGGTTACCTGAAGGGAAAAATTACTAAGTAAAGGCCCCAACAGAGAAGGTGTCTTCTGCTTGTTAAGAATGACTATCCACAGTCATTTTCTGTGCTCTGTGCTCTTGGTCTGTGGTTATGGCACATCAGAAAAGAAGGCCACTTACCCAGGGCCTTGCCTCTCCCTCCCAACACCCCCCCCCCCCCCCCCCGCCGCCCCAGAGCTTGGATGCTTGGATGGTGGCACATTCCACCAAGGACACCCTTCCCCCCACTAGTCT